TATCATTAACTCCAACTAAGCATGACTGCCCAACACTGTGGCACGCTTGTGCTTTTCATTTTATTCTGGGTGTTTTGTTGAAGATTGACTTCAGAAGCGAGTAAATACTACATTAATGTTTTATTTGCACACAGTGAGGATAATTAGCTCAACTAACCAATCTAAATATCTGAGAAACCTGCTGCTGGGTTGGTGGGTCCTTCATCTAGATTGCTGAACCTCTTGGCAGTGGCCAGTGTGCATCTACACTTGGTTTTCACTTCAGCTACAATAGCTGCTGAGTGGACCAATTCCCTGTTTTAAAAATGCATGGCCGGATATTAATTTCTGCATGTTCATATAGCAAAAACAACCGAAGTGGACGGATATATTCATGTGTGTCCCTTAAATGAATCTTGGCGCCAGCTAAGCATATAGTGATTTTAGTTTTTTTTGGAAGCAGTGCTAGCGGTTTGCATGCATTTCAAACATATTTTCAAGTCATATGTTATATTTTCATCCCAAAAGATAGCCGTTAGTTTAGTAGTTGTTGCCCATTTTAACCCCGAGACGTGGTAAATTAGTCATGCAGATAATCTTCTCTTAGCAAAAGGCAAAAATCTGCATTAAACATAAGGAAAGGCAACATGGTTTGGTTATAAATAAGAGTCAGTGCAGGATTGTGGTTTCAGTAAATGTTATTTTCTTTTGTCCACTGATATGAATTTGGTGCAACATACGGTAATAAAGAACGACCACCTGATTCACGTTACGTATTCAGTTCATCTTTCTGTATTGAGTAATTTGCTCCATTCATGGTTCCTTTTAGAACAGCAGCTGTTTTGTATTTGATCAAATCAGATTACATCAAATTAAAGATGAGAGGATGAGTTCTATTGGAGGTTATGGGACCTTTTGAAGCAGTCAGAAATGTTCCATTTACCGATTATTTCAACTGGTTCCACTAAACCTTGTTGCTTAAAGGTAAAGAGTATACACATGGCTATACATTGTTATGGTAAAACATTACTCTACATTAATCCTTATATAACCCTTTAATTTTCTAACGTTTTTGTCCTTTGAGCACAAAAAAAAAATACACTAAGGTCGTGTAAGGGTTAAAGAAGACCAATTAAATGGACCCAGCTGGCAAAACTTGGTTAAGTAAATTCAACATTTTATTTCTTACAGTGTATATGACATCACCCTTAAACTAAAGAGGTTCACTCATACTTATATAATTGCCATTTTTAGACTATGTGAAATAATTTCAATAATTAGAATTACCATGTGAGTGGCCTGCTATCCATTAAAAAACACAGTCTAGCTGACCTTGATGTTATCTGGTTGTAAAATGTTTTTACATGGTGGAAAGCAACACCTTTTTATATATTCCAAATGGTTAAACCTATGGGTTAAACATATACTTTCATTATCCCTTATTGAATCAAAACAAATAGAACCGATGGCCCCAGGAAGGACTTTAGCGTAGAGACACTGGTCTAGTGGTCATCCCACTCCAATATAAAGATCATTTTGCCTCAGTGACTTGCAATAAAACACATATTCAGCAGGGGACTGTTAGGACACTAAGCCCTCATCTGTTTCAATACCACAGAGGCTTTAGCTGAGACAAAAGCTTTTGTCGGGATCACAGAGCGTGCCCTGCAGCCTGTAGAGACATCAGGCTGGTTTATGACAGACAGGCCAGCAGGAGGCGGGCAGTGGCCTCATACCCGCAGATCGCTTTAACCGTGCACAAGGCAATGTGCATGAAAGTGTTTGGAACACTGAAGATGAGTGTGCATTGTGTTTGATGTACCTCCTGATGTGAGACTGGTGATCTGGTGAGACTGGAGTGTTGAGGTGTGTGTGTGTGTGTGTGTGTGTGTGTGTGTGTGTGTGTGTGTGTATGTGTGTGTGTGTGTGTGTGTGTGTGTGTGTGTGTGTGTGTGTGTGTGTGTGTGTGTGTGTGTGTGTGTGCGCGTGTGTATTTGGGTTGCCAGGCGCAGTTTGACATCTACTGCTGGAATGTTGACTCGATTAGTACTCGCAAATCAAACTCACTATTTCTGTCATCTTGAAAGATGTCTCTTGTTCTGAAACACTTTCGCTTCAACAGGTGTTGCTGATGAAATTCTGTTGAAACTCAACAGTTATAATGTCATACTAAATTGTTTTCTATCATACTTTTTTCATTGTACGGTAACAATTGCAACAGGTATTTGAGCAAAATTCTTTGTATTTTTGATTATACTTTAAAGTGTTAATTCAGATATTTTGAATTTGTTTTTGTGGAAGTTATCAGTAATTAATATCTAATTGCTAGATGGATGTTGACTGAATGGGTTAGAACTAGACAATATAAAACAACACCCATCTCTCAGTGGCAAATTCTAGTAGTTTAAACATTTTTCCTCTCCAAATTACATAATTATTACAAAAGTCACAGAAATACTTGGAAATAGTACATTTTAAATCTTCACACCTTTATAAATTTTGGATTATTGTTATTTACATAAAATATTTTAACAAACATCACAGAGCTTGCAGTCTGATGGTTTCATATCAAAAATGTGTATTTTTGCAGCAATAAACAACATATGGTAGAAGATGACATACAGAGTTGCATTGTTGTCAGAAAAAACCCAAACCTTAGGTATCCTGATGTTTTTAGACAACAAAACTGTTTCATGATAACCTGTAATAGTTTATCTACCTCTCTAGGAGAAGGAGGTGCATTTGAGTTCTCTGTGGCTGTTTTTTAAGTTTTCTCCTCCACCTCCTTTGCCCATGGTGTCCCACAAGGTTCTGTGTTGGGCCCATAATTGTTCCTCATTTATTTGCTTCCTCTTCCACTTCCTAATCTCTTTTAAAGGAATATTTTACCATAATTTAATTTCAATATAACGATGAGTTCTTTAAAAATTATTTTATTAAATTTTAATTGTGCTTGTGAAGTGTCTTGTGATTTTAACCTGAAAAGGCACTGTATAAAAAATTATTCTTTCTTGGCTGAAGCTGGCACAGGAGTTAAGTGCTCTCCCCGTAAGTAGAAGGTTGCAGGTTCGAGCCCCACTGAGTCTGTCACGGCCGTTGTGTCCTCAAGCAAGACACATAACTCACTTTGCCTGCTGGTGGTGGTCAGAGGGGCCGATGGCGCCTGTGTAGGGCAGATTTGCCTCTGTCAGTGTGCCCCGCAAGGCGGCTGCGGCTACAATGTAGCTCATCCACCAGCATGTGAATGTGTGTGTGAATGAGTGAATGACGTATTGTGTTGTAAAGTGCCTTAGGGGATTCCAGGACTCTAGAAGGCACTATATCAAATACAGGCCTTTTACCATTCTTTAGATTTCTTATAAAAACTCATGCCCTGAGGACATTTTCATGCACTTTACAATTCTGTTGTAAACTAAATGTGAAAATAAATTGTCTAGATGAAAAAATTAATCCCTAAATCTTCATTTTAGTGAAGTCTTTACCTTTAAATGTTCAGATTTTATCTCTGACAAGAGCTTGGTAATTAATAAAGTTCGGATCCTTCAAAGATGTCAGTCAGATCACAACAATCCCCCTCCTGTCTATGCTTGTCATGCTTACAGGTGTTTGGAAGAGGACCATGATGAATGGCTGACCCTTAGTTCAACTCAGACATGTGCTCATGATGATGTAAACCCTCATACGCCACAAACACATGCCAATTACCCCCGTACGGACATTAGATCATACGCCATCGTGGTGTCAGCAGGACTCATGCTGAAACTCTTTTTCATCTCTGTCTGTTTACACTGATAACAGATCTGTTATCTAAATGCATCAACATACAAAGTCTTTTGAGGCGAATTCCACGTCAATCGGAGTGTCAAGTCACGTCTTCCAAGTTTTTAAGGCTCGACAGACGAACTGTGTACAGCAAACCGTGTGAGGTGATTCTAGCATAATCTTACTTGCAATCTTTCTCAGACAACATCAGATGGAGACGTGTTGATGGACTTGAAAATTCATTTAAAAGTCAGGAACAAGTTGTCATGAGGGAGGCAAGTTCATTCCCACTCTTTAATGTACTAGTTTTGTGCCATGATGAGCAGAGAGAGGTGATTTAAAGTACAATAGAAAGTCACGTGAGACGTGTTTCCAATATAGGAGTTCTGGAAAATGTCTGGGAGGGGGGAAAGTGACCGGGAGAAACGATGGTTTGGTTCTCTCATATTGTGTCTCCGTACAAAACCAGCCCTTTCAGGACTTTGCTAAGACGTCAGCATATCGCAACTGCTTCTGCGCATGAGTGATTTCACAGACCAGCACCAAAAGTACACGGAAGATGAGAAGAGCAGCTGCGTGACGCAAGAAGTACAATTTAACGTCATTTACGAAATTCTCTGAGATGACAAAGCAGCACAATTTACCGAATTTTGAAGAGACCACTGCCTGTTGGTGTGGAGAGTTTAGGAAGGGTGATTTTAAAGCAGTGTGAATGTTGCTTATATTCCCTCCTCTCATCCTGCTTCACCAGCAACTCCAGATTTATGAATGCTGTTTTTTTTGGCAACATCTTCCGATACCTACTGAGTTACAACTTATGAGCACGAGTTAACCACAAGTCCCTGCTGGCGATTTTACCCCAGTTCAAGTACTTTGCTGGTTTCTGAAATGGCCCGGTCCTTTCAGACCAACCTGAAAATGGAGACACGTGCATGCTGCGAAGGTCCGGTAAAATTTCACATTACATAGTTCCAATCGTGGAGACAGACCTATAGAAGCAGATGTTCTAAGTAGTTCCCTGAAACATTTTCTAAAGCTTCTCCTTTAACTGGAAGAAAGTCCCAAATTTTGAGATACTTTTAGGCTCCGTTCAGATTTCGGGAAAGATTTGTTAACGTCAGATGTCACAATCCCAACCCAACACACATCTACAGTATCATTCATACAGAAATTGAAACAACACTCTGCTCGTCTTTGGCCCTTTCCACGCCTCTCACCTCCCACCTTTTCTTCCTCCCTCCACCCCCTCGCCCTCTCATCTGCACCACTCTTGAATTAAGTCCATTCTTTCAGCCCGCTCTCCCTCCGAGCGTTTCTGCTCCACTCAGCTTCAGAGAAAACTCTGCATGTTTGTATGTGTGTGTGTTTGAGCTCCTCCCGTGTGTGTTAAGGAGAGTTTTATGTGTGTGCATGGTTCTGTGTGTTTTTCTAAGTGGAGCTGAAGTGCAGCCGTTCATCAGCGGAGTTGACTGCAGTCAGGGGAATACTCAGATCTCGCTGTGCTGCTTTTTTAACTCACACACCAGCTGCTTATTGGACTTTTTTTAAACGACTGGACTTTCTTTTGCACCAAACTGGGAATCTACAGCTGCTGTCTTTCATTTCACCCCTCCAGGCACCATTCCCATCACTGGAATTACGGATTTTTCTCTTTCCACAGATTTTTCCCTCCCCAGGAATTCGTTTTGACCTTGAATTTTTAATCTTTCAAAAATCCTGGTCTGTTACATTTTAAATCGCAGCTTCTTGGGATCCTATAACTTTTCTATTATTTAAAAAATATATATAAAAATATATACTTGTTGAATCCTGAAAATGGGTGTTTTGGAAAATAAATTAACCGCTTGGTGAGCTTGTGTAGGTGTGCATAATATCACAAGCTGGAAGTCCTGTGTCATGTGGGTCCATGTGTTTCATTTTTACTTTTTAAACCAACGGGAAGGACTATGAGACACTAAACAGCCTCAGGAGACCATGATGGAGACTATCAGCCAGTCAGAAGCATGTTGGGCTCAGGTGGATGCTGATCCTGAACCTTTCTGACTTTTGTTTCCTCTGATTACTGAGAAGAAGGTAGGTTTAAGTCATTCAGTAAGAGGATTTTTATGTTTTAGGCAAACTTTAAGTTATAATTGACCTATTGTCTAATATGATGTGATGATGAAGGGATTTTTAAGTACTTAAAGGCCTGTTTGGAACATTTGTAACATAAAAAGTGTGTCGCAGCCTCACTTTTGAGCTACTGCAAAGTGAAGAACCTTTAAAGCCGTGCTGTTGACCTGTGAGGATTGTTCTTAAGAGAGCTGTGTTGAGATCCTTTTCCTTTGGTGGAGTGAGTTGTCGTTCCTCTGAGAGCTCTCTGGAGGAGATCCAGTAAAGAGACCAGAGGCAGCTCTGGAAGGTCTTGACTCACTGCTGCTCCTGGTTTAGCCATGTGGCAGCGTACCAGTGACCAACAGGCTGCCTGTGCTGTAGCAGCTTCTTCTTTGTGTCTATTTTCTGACCGTCCATTCAAACGGTTCCAAATGCATGACTGCAGAAAAGCCTTTTTTGCCTTAAAGCAGTTATATTTCCCATACTTGTGCCAGCTTAAAGCATCTCTATGTGACAAATATCACCGTTAGAGAGACACCTGGAGGGGGGCACAACGTGTTCAAAGCATCTGATTAGATCAGCTGCTAATATGGCTCCTTGTCTTGTTTTTGCAGTAAAAAGTTAGAATTCTAAGAACAATTTATCCAAAGGGAAGAAAGACGAGCCACGAGTTTTAGGCTAGGAAACTTTCCCTTCATGTCGCTGAGCCAGATGGCACCAAACCAGCAGCCAGCTGAGTCTATAGTCCTCGTCATTCACTGGGTCTCTTTCCGATCAGCCAACTTCTGTGCTTGAAATCTCGCTTTTTCTGCTTCACTTTGTGTCCGCTTAAATCCCATAAAGAGGGTGAGGGATGTCTGGCTTCTAGATGAATTCATTTGTAAAGTATGCATGAAAATCCTAAATTTCCAGTTTTTTCATGCAGGTTTGTGACTCGTTTCAACACAAGTTTACCAGTTTTGCATCAATTCTTAAAGTTTGACCATTTCACAAAAAAGGAATCACCTCAGAATTAGAATAATAAACATCATAAATCATCATCGGTGGCCTAAGTTTTTCCCTGTTTCTCAGGTGAAATCAGTCGCTACTTAACCTAAAACACCAAAGTCTCTGATTATAAAAACTCATCTATGTCATGCTTGTAGCGTTTTTGTTCTTCCCACTTTTAGACATTGTTTTACAAAAGTCTGCAGCATGTCTGTTCTGCCACGCTTCACCTGCTCTTCTCAGGCTTCTTGCACCAAATACCTGATATGTGAGCGGCTGAATCCAAACACAACATTGTTTTAAACAGTGTGGTCGCAGTGTGATTTTATTTAAAAGCCTTTTTTTTTGTACATGTGCAGTCAAAAACATAAAGTTGCACATATGAGGTCCTCGTATAGGTACCTCATATTTTTATAGAAATTTACACACATGGTGTTAGCATGCCACTTCTTACACTTTTTACAACTTTTTTACAAACCTCACTGCACAAACTATAAGTAAACTTCATTTAATTATAGTAAATGATTGTGACAAGATGGAATTTTACAGATTTGTGTCTATTATTTTATCTTCAAGCTTCAAATACATGTGTTTTTAGCATTAAAGTGGTTTTCTTATCCAAAGATCAACCTTTGTTTCCTTTATTTGCTGCTGAAATGAACAGAACGATGAGCAGATATAATATGTGTTGGCGATAGAGACTGAAAGCATTTTTTTTTTACATCATCAACAAAATAAAACTCCAAACTTCTAGAGTTAGGCTAATAAGAGTTTTTAGCTCCCTTTTATGGGACTTTTCTCCTTTGATTCACCGTAAGTTCAAACGCTTTCCCATTTCCAGTCCTTCTTTCCTTCCTGAAGTGCAGTCTGTGTGTATCAAAGTGAGGCAGAAATGTAAAATCTCCTTGGAGCTAATTGCCTCAATTCTCAATACCCCTCCCCATCTCTTGTCAGTGAACCAAGTGCAAAAGCCACCAGTTACCTGCTGTTTCACTCATTTTACTCTAAAGCTCAGAGCCCTCCCTCCGCCTCGTTCTCTCCATCTCAATCTTCCTCCTCTTCCGACCTTCTCTCCCACCTTTCATTTCTCCGTCGCGGAGAGGCTTATCCTCGTTGGTCGAAGGCCAGGAAACTCTTTTCTCTCCATGGGACAAAACAATTGGCTCCTTTCTTCCCATCACTTCTCGCCTTTCTTGTTTTCTCCTCCATCTCCACCGCCTTCCGTCGCGGTCTCGTTCTTTTCCTGGGACTTTTATTATGCACACAGGCTCTGGGTGCCTAAATCTGTACATCTGGTGTTTTTTCAGAGCTTCATGACACTTTTACTCTCACTTGCTGTTTGTGTCTTCTCTTCTTGTTTCTCACTTTATTCAGACTTCTAATCATTTCATTCTTATTTTGATTTCTCTCATTTCACCTTCTAATTAAATCTCTGTCACTGCACCTGTCCATCTTATATTCTTCTACGATCTTCCTCGCCCCTCCTTCATTTCCTTTTTCCTCTCATTTTTCTTTTCTGACCTTGTCGAGATGAAAGGCTAGAAGTTAAACCACTTAAATTCATTCCTACATGTAGAACTTCAGCGTTGCTCCCAGGAAAGGCCCGTCTCACCCAGGCGGCGAGCTGCTTTGTCTGCTCGTCTCTATTTAGGCTGGTTTTTGACAGCGCAGCTTGGTCCCACGCGCATCCCCCTGTGTATCCCTGTCGGCCTTTATTTTTGACCCATTCACTGTCGTGAGCGCTGCAGCTCCATGTCTAGTGAAGCTGAACTGAATGCAAGTGTCACTGGGACCAGTGACCTTTCTTCCATTATTTAGATATAAAACATGCAAGAAGTCTGTGTGAAGCTCTATTGACAGGCTGCTGCATTTAGATCAGAACACAGGAAAAACTATGTCTTTTAACGAATAATGCACTTAAATGCACACATCCTCAGACACTGCAACAGATCAGGGCGACACAGCGAGACAATAGGGCCAGTCGTTTATTTTTTAGCCACTCATAGGAGTGTAAAGGCTTCCCTGCTGCCGTTACTACCAGGAACAGTGACGTAAATTGTGCCGGCGCATGTTTCTGTCCGTGCAGCTGACCCTTGAGCACATGTAAACACACAAAGCCTCTTTCTTTCTGCGTCACAAACCATCACCTTATTTTGAAGTCATCACTTTCTGATGATCAGCTGTGTTTTTTTTTTGTTTTTTTCTTTTGTGAGTGTGAGCTTTCAACCTGCAGGCAAGCCACAAAAGACCTCCAGCCTGAAATCAGCAGTGGGAGTGTGTGTTCCCTCCGCATGTACACTTTTGTCCATTCATTAAAAGTGCACGTGTTTACTTACTGCTGGGTATGAGGGAGTTTGTGTCTCCGCTCAGCCCTGTCCTGTTGTGTTGTGGTCTGGCAGCCATGAGCTTATGAGAGCTCTCCTGTCTCAACGCCTCAATAGCTCCATTATTCATAAACAGAGTGCCAACAGCCTTCACTGGTCTCTCTGTGTGTGTGTGTGTGTGTGTGTGTGTTTTGGTATTCATGTGCTGCTTAAATGCATCATTACAGCTTTCAGTTGTTGAAACCAATCAGATATTAGCCTCAACATTAAGTGACAGAGTTTCAACATCGTGGAAAGAAGAAAACTTGGACTCTCCTTTTCTTTGCGTTCATAAAATTTTAGTTGGTTTGTGTTCCTGCCTCCAGCACCTGACAGCAGTTCTTTGCTCCGCTGCAGCAGTTGGAGCTACTGATATTTTAGTATGAATAATTGTTCTACGTTTCTTCGTCATCTATTCAATGTCTTCCTCCACTGAAGACAAATAAACTATTGTATAATTTTGTGAATAGTAAAAGAAAGTACTCATTTTTTATTTATGTAAAACAATTAAAGAGAACATTATCATGTTTTTCACTATAAAACAAATTGTTCAGCTTAAAAGAGACCTATTATGGGTTTAGAAAGATTTAAGGAGTTTTATGGTTAATACAAAACATGCTCATGATGTTCTTTGCATGAAATCCCTCTTTTTATTCTTGACATTTTCAGTACCTTCCAGAATGAGTTGTTTCAGGGCTCTTTAACTTTTAGAAAACAAGTTGGAGCGGGCCAAGGCCACCCATTTCCTGATGGGCTGCTATAAGCTGAGAAGCTCTGATACCAGGGAGTGACTCGGAGTAGAGATGCTGCTTCTCCAGCAGAAGGGTCTCTACTCCAGGTGAGAGGTTGTTCAATTTTAACTTGTCCATCCATCCATCCATCCATCCATCCATCCATCCATATATCCATCCATCCTCTTATCCAGGGTCAGGTCATGGGGGCAGCAGCCTAAGCAGAAACCCCCAAACTTCCCTCTTCCCAGCCACTTGGGCCAGCTCCTCCGGAGGAATCCCAAGGTGTTCCCTGGCCAGCTGAGAAACATAGTCCCTCCAGCGTGTCCTGGGTCTTCCTTTAGGTCTCCTCCCTGTTGGATGTACCTGGAAAACCTCACCTGGGAGGCATCCAGGAGGCATCCTAACTAGATGCCTGAGCCACCTCGACTGGCTTCTCTCGGGAGAGGAGCAGTGGATCTACTTTGAGCCCCTTTGTGACATCACAAATGGGGACTTTTCAAAACAGCTCATTTTAGGCCCAAAATTCCTAAACCAAACCATGACAGAAAACGAATGGATGGGTTTTCCACATTTGTAGTGTTTATACAAACAGTAGAGGCAAACGTGGTAGCACAAAAGGAAATAAAATGAGTTTTGCACAAAATGCTCCCTAAAAATAAAAATCTGTGTCATTTCAAACACATTTTTTGCAAAAATTGGGCTTTTTAAGTAAGATTTTTAAAGTCTTTCTTTTAGATTTATATATAAAAATGCTTCAAAGTTTTTGAATCGGGACTCAGTGTTGAATTTCTCAGCAGCAGGTTAACTGCTCAGGTTTGCAAATGAACGTTTAAACAAGTTTAATATATCTAGAAACCAAAGAATAAACAGACTTTTAAGGCTGCAGTGAGCGTGAAATGTGTGTCAGGAATGGATTAAAAAGAAGGTGTAAGACTTTTAAAAGGTGCATTTCTTTAAGGCAAGGCAGCACATTTCATACACAGAGGCAATTCAATGTGCTTACCAATAGCAACAACATTAAAATCAACGTGACCGAAAATACTATTTAAAAAATAAAAAGAAATTACTTTTAGTCATGTCAGCAGGTTAGGTTATGTTACAGCAGACATAGTTGGAATCTCAGAAAACTCATGGAAAATGAATAAAAATTACTCCAAAGTAAGAAAAATGTGAACATGAAATATTAGATGTTGAGCTTGAGTTTTACTCTTGTTTTCTTATATTTTCTTAAGATTGTGAATTTATAAATGATAGGACATTGACAGAAACACCATCTGCTCCCCAGAGAGAAGTATTATTAAACAAAAGGGGGATTTTTACAGTGGGTAACAGATGAAGGACAGTGATAAGGGTAATTGTCAGGAGTGGGGAAGAGGGGGTAAAAACAAAAGGGGGTAAAAGCTGACCGCCAGCCTGTTTCTCAGTGCCAACTGCGAGGTGCAATATAATAAAGGAGACTGTTTCGAGTGAAAGGCTTTATTGTTCTGGCTACCCACAGAGTCCAAAGTACTGAAAAAGGAGTGTGTGTGTGTGTGTGCATGCGTGCGTGCGTGTGTGTGTGTGTGTGTGTGTGTGTGTGTGTGTGTGTGCGTGCGTGTGTGTGTGTGTGTGTGTGTGTGTGTGTGTGTGTGTGTGTGTGTGTGTGTGTGTGTGTGTGTGTGTGTGTGTGTGTGTGTGTGTGTGTGATATATATTTGTATTGCAGGTTCACAAACTAGTGACCTTGCTTTGGCTGCGGTGTGTTGTGGTATGTGCCTAACCCAGTCTGAGATTTCTGAGACGGTGAAATAAATGTGCAAAACAAACCTCGTTAAGTTCTCACACACTTCCAAACTGTAAATAATGTGTGAAGGTAATTATCTATTACTCATACACTCATATCAATACAGAAATCTGATCAAAATAATCCACCAAGTGGCCTCACACATGCTTTGTTCTGACAAACACTGACAGAATCATCCATTCATCTGTCTGTTTGTGTTACTGTCGTCTCATGGGGCCTCAGAAACAGCGATGTGCCGGTACGGGGGGAGAAAGTGTCAAAGTGGGAATGTGGGGGTGGGTGCTCGGACTTGGCAATGCCTCAGACATGGAGAGGCTTGGCTTGGCTCATCTGAACATATCTCTGGCTCACAAATGCTGTCTTCATCACTACGATGAGTGTGTGTTTTGGAATCTTTCCCCCAGTCTCACAGTAATGTGTAGAGATTATAGCGTTGGTGCCATGATGGAGGCTGGCATTACCACACCCTGGAATGGGCATCAATCTGATTTGGCCTAAATATACCTCAGAAAATGTGTGTGTGTGTGTGTGTGTGTGTGTGTGTGTGTGTGTGTGTGTGTGTGTGTGTGTGTGTGTGTGTGTGTGTGTGCGTGCGCGTGTGTGTGTGTGCACGAGGACATCCCTGGTTGAAGCAGTGCACATTTGTGAATTATATCTCTCTCTCTCTGCGTCTCTATTTTTAGATCTCTGCCCATGTGGAATGGTTTTGTCCTGTCCTCGACGTGAGAGGTGAACTGTGACGTCCTTCAGGAGGGGACCAGTGACTGGATTATGAATCTCCTCCAGAGGAAATAGTGCATTTTATAGATTACCCTAATTAGCTTGGAGCCAACAGAAGAAGATTTTGTCAAACTGTAAAAAAAAATTTAAAAACAGAAATAGAAGAACTAATATTTTTGGGGAAGAAAGAAGTTTGTTTAAGAATTACCAAGATGATGACGATGATGATGATCACGTGCAGCTCTCTGTTGGTGCTCGGGATGGCTGCTGCTCATACTTCCTCCAGTACAGTGACTCGTGCTTCCTCTTCATCCACATCCTCCTCCTCTTCCCCCTCCTCGTCCTCCTCACCACGCATGAAGCTTTCCTACAAAGGTAGGAACGAATGAAGCTCCTCATCTGCTTCTGTAAACCTTTTATTAACTAACACACACACACACACACACACACACACACACACACACACACACACACACACACACACATACAGAGAAGTCAGCGTGATGTCCTGCATCGCCACATAAACCAGGGAAGTGTTCCATCACTCAAAGGTGGTAATTACAGACTAAACTTGATCACCGAGGATGAAGACTCACTGAGGACTGTCTGCTCAGTGGAAATATGAACCCCTTTAACTTCAGCTGAGGGTAACATGGAGGAGAGTAAACCGAGGAACATTATTCAGGAATTTTGTAGGGTAGGGGTGAAGATTGATAAGCCTCCATCCACAGTACCTGACACATAAATGCTCTCTATGCCTTTCCAGAGACTCTTTGATGCCAGTGGCCAGACATGAAGCTTTATGAACAGCCTCCCTGCAGAGAAACAACTTTTTAGTACAACCCAATAACTATTCACCCTTACATTTTGCTCCTCCCACGTGTCTCACTTGTCAAAATCGATGACCAGCCTGTTGTGAAATGATGAAAATTGATGCTGTTTTGAGACTATTATGTTTTGGTAGCTCTCAGACTAGCCATCTGCTCATCAGTTCTTTTAGAAATAAAGTCTCTTTGTCCTAAAAAAAAGCTGTTCAAGAAGTTATCAATACGATAAGTTATTTAAAAAAGGGTTTCATGAAAACAGACTTGAAAATAACCCTAAAAGTCCATTCAAGCATCAACAATAGATTCCAGTCTTTCTACACATCCATGGAAGTCACAAAAAGGCCCATGAACTGCAAATAGTTCATATTTATCTAGAGGAACCAAACAACAACACAAATCTGTTGCTTCTGCCTTTTATCCTTTACAACTTGTTAAACCAAAGCACGTGTCCGTTTTAATTAACTGTGTCATCATTAGGCCCAAGGTTATTTCATCTGCAGTATAGGAGGACTGAGTCATTTGGCCTCTGATGTCATACAGGCAGTTATTAGGTGGCGTCAGAGTTTGAACAATAACAAACTAATAAAACCACTTAAACACATAAGAGAAAGGGCCTTGGTTTAGTTTTCGTAAGCTCCTAGTTTAAGCTAGGACAGCAGAGGAGGATGCTTATTTTTATGACTCCTCTGGCCAAGGGCTTTTCTTTCCACTGGCGGCTTGGTTTGACTATTGTGGCCTAAATTTACAAAGACATGTTAGATTTTCCTGGGCACAGTTCCTCCTAGGAATTGTTTTTGCCAGTTGGTAACTCCAAGGACGCTCATATTTTCCATTGAAACCATTTCTGTCAGAGGATTTGGTCCTCCCTCCGCCTAAGGAAACAGCTTTGAAATGTTATTTAAATAACTCAAATGATGCTGTAATCTTCTTTATCAACCACATGACTTACTGCTGCCCTGTAGCTAGCCAGCTGATTTTGATCTAAATATTCCAATAACGTCAAAACATTTATGGCATGGATTATTTGAGTTTGGCATCTTTCCTGAGTCATAAACTATTATTACTTTGAGAAGACAGTGAGTTTATGAATGTCATAAAAGCACACAGCACTGAGAAAACTCTTGATTATCTCTTCTTTGTATATATTTAGCTTCAAATATGACAGAATAGCTTAAAGTAATATTCTGTCCATTAAAGGAGCAATATGTAAGAATTCTACTGTGAAATAAACACAAATCAGTCTAATGTCTCAATCATGTTGGAAGGAAACATTCGATCACATGGCTTCTCCTACCACTGCTATGCAGACGACACCCAGCTCTATCTGTCATTTCCACCGGACGACCACACTGTCTCTGCACGAATATCAAACTGTCTCTCTGACATATCAAAATGGCTAAAATCCCACCATCTCCAACTCAACCTCTCTAAAACTGAACTACTTGTCATCCCAGCAAAACCATCCATACAGCACAATATCTCAATCCAAAATGACTTCCTATCTCTGACTCCTTCAAAGGCAGTTCGAAATCTGGGTGTTGTGATTGAAGAACACCTGAGCTTTAAAGATCATGTTGCCTCTGTTGCTCGTTCATGCCGCTTTGAGCTGTATAACATATGAAAGATCAGACCATACCTAACACAACATGCCACCCAGCTCCTGGTGCAATCTACTGTCATCTCCCGCCTCGATTACTGCAATGCCCTTCTAACTGGTCTTCCAGGCTGTGCTGTGAGACCTCTTCAAATGGTCCAGAACGCAGCAGCATGTCTGGTCTTCAATCAGCCAAAAAGAGCATGTGTCACCCTTCTGTTCATTGAGCTCCGCTGTCTACTGCTAGCTACATGCATCAAATTCAAATTGCTAACACTAGCATACAAAGTCCAAGATGGTACGGCTCCCATCTACCTGAATCCTCTTGCAAAGGCTGACATCTCAGCCCGGCCGCTCCATTCAACACATGATCATCTGCTAGCAGTGCCTACACCACGCTCAGGACAATCCAGACTCTTCTCATGCATTGTTCCACAAATGTGGAAAGACCTACCAAGCACTACCAGAACAGGGGCTTCCTTTTCAATTTTCAAGAAACTCCTGAAGACCCTGCTCTTCAGAGAGCATCTTCTAAACTAGCGCCCTCCCTGCATCCGTACCCCTCTCTACTGTCCACTCCTTGTTCCCTACTCTCCATGATTAATTATGCTGTCTCACTGCCACCTACGACTGACTGGAAATTGTTTGTTGTTGTTTTTGTTATTGTTGTTGTTAGCCTCAAGGGCAACATGCCAATTATCACTTGTAAGTCGCTTTGGACAAAAGCGTCTGCTAAATACATAAACATAAACATAAGGAAAGTTATATTAAAATAGATTGTATTGTCAGCTGGCTTGGGGTGTTGTCAGGCTTCCTCTTTTTGAAGAAAAAAAATAAACAAAACAAAAAACAAACAGAAGTGGGACATTGTCACTGTTTATATTCTGTAAGTTTGTGAGGTTGTCGAATCTACAGCGAGCTAACGCAGACACCGGCCGGGCAAAAGCGCCAGAGTTGTTTAAAGAACCAAAACCAGTAAACAGGATTGACCCAGAAGTTATTTTTTGACCCCTAAGAAGCAACGGCATACTTTTGTTTAACTCTAATATCGGGTAAAGCAGACTAGCGGCTAAAGTTGAGCTAGCAATGCTAACGTTGAACTAGAAGCAAATAGTCTCCGGAAAATATCTCAAGCTACTTTTTCTATAACCAACAATTCAATATTACAGTGAAATGTATGAGTGAAGTGAATAATGAGTCAATCATGGTGTTTACTTCCTTTAATTAGTCGTTCGGAACTATGACAACAAGCTAACAGCACGTTGGCAGACAATAACACTTCCTGTATTGCTGGAGACAAACAACCGTAAAAGTGTAGTAAGTAACATTTTTGCCTAAAAATTGACTGCAGTACCCACATTTGACCCCAGGATGTCTTTCTTACAAATTGCATCTTTAATTTGTCTCGTGTTCTATAACTTTCTATGGACAAGTTTCACTCTGTGGATCCATAAATCTTGTACTAAATACTCTTAAAATGGTTCCACTTTGTCCAGAATTGCAACAGTTCCACGGAGTGCGCCGTTTTGAGCTGGAGCGCTCCTGCTGCTTTAGCGCCATGCTCCTGGACGAAGAGAGGGGCCGACTGTTTGTGGGAGCCAAGAACTTCCTGCTGTCACTCTCACTGGACAACATTGCCAAACAGGAACACAAGGTAAAGCTGCTTATCTGTAGACTATGTGAGGCAATTAAAGGTTCATTTATGGACAGTAATTTGCAAAGTCGTAAACTTTAACACCATCATAATTGTGTTTTATGAACTGGAGCAGGAAGAGGCTGTTCCACATTATAAGGTGCTTAGCATTTTTTAACAACGCGTGACTAAATGAGTATTTAATCACATGCTCTTTTTCTTTTTTTTATGTGGAAATATATCTTTTAAAAATGTCTGAACAGCCTTGTGTTTTTCTGTTATAAACCTGGCCAGTCTGGAAGTGACTCATATTGTTTACTTTCTAGAAATTAATTATTACCTCTATTATCATGGATGATCTACACGTTGTTGATAAGCATCGTACACATAAACACATCGTTTCACTTTATTGTCATGAAGAGAATACTCTTCACTGTCTCACTTTGAGGAAAGAAAAACAAATGTGTGATTAATTGAAAAGAAAATCTGTTTCCATCTGAAAATTTCATTGCATCCTGTAGCTGAAGGTTTTACAGTGAGTAGCAGTAGTCTACGTAGCAAAAACACACATTTATAGCCTTAAAAATACATTATTAAGTACACAAGTGCTTAAAACCTTTAGAATGTTTGGTGTTGCACACAAAACTATGGTTTTACAAGCCAAGTATAGCTCACTGGAAAGAGCTGCCCACAGCTGTTTGGAGTAAATTACACGTTTGATGTGTCAGAGTTGAAACCTTTGTTGGCTTTAGGTGAATTTGATTCATGACCAGGAAGTGCAGATTCCCAACAGTTGAAGTCGTTTATGCTATGTGGTTAAGCATGCGTGGGATAAGGAAATCTAAATTGTAGACAGCGCAGCAAGTGTGAAACAGACGTGGACAGGAGAGAGTGAAACAAAAGCTTGAAGACTAAATGGAAATCTTTTTTGGAACACCAAGATGTAACGCCACTTGTTTAAGTGCTTCATTCACGCTCAGCGTTTTCCACGTTTCAGATCTACTGGCCAGCTCCTGTCGACTGGAGGGAGGAGTGCAACTGGGCAGGCAAAGACATCACTGTAAGTGTCTTGAAAACATCCTAAACTCCAGTTTAAAATGTTGTTAACACGACTACTCATCAGGGATAGACACAGCACTGAGAAATGAGAGGGCCATCACAATACTACCTTTTAATCCACTGTCGTCATGGGAGTCGTCACAGGACACAATGACCACATGCAAACAGAAAACCTGTAATAACGGGTGCAGCGCTCCCACTCCTGGACCTGCCGTGTGGGGAGATCGCTTCCTCGTTGTCTAGTTATTTGAAATGCCATGTGACTGAGATTTAAACAGATTGCATATAAAATCAGGAATGACAACCTCTAAGTCGAAACTGATGCTTTAGCATTGCAAATATAACATATTGTGATACTACAGCAAAGAGAACTGAAATATGCTTTATCGAATATTCATTATTGACTGCATTAAATACATAAATTTTTTATTAAAATGGATTATAACAATTGTCTCAAGCCCAGTTCACACAACAAGAATTGAAATTGTTGGCCACTTTTTGAAGCATGAGAGACCGCACTCATGGTGATAACATCACGGATGTACTAGTTTTGGTCCTGCAGCGTGTGCTAAGCAACAACTCTGCAAATACTACACACTACACACAAACCGCTTTCACGCTGGGATATTTCCCACTTGAATTGGAAAACCTGAGACAAAAAAACTTGACTTTGAAGTAAACAAACATGGTGGAGGCGAAGCATGCTGTGCACTTCCATCACCTCGCTTTCTGATTGGCTAGACTATACATTCAACAGGTAGCACGTTTGTTCATCCCCAAAAATCAGTTTGAGACAATCGGAGTGAACCCACTTTGCTTGTGAGCACACCAGAGCAGTTACGGTAAGATGAGGTAAGATAAGATAAGAGATAAGATAAGATAGGTAAGACTTTTTCATAATCTTTCTGGGATTTTAACCATTTATTTAAAACGACAGCAAATAGTTTCAGCGGTTCATTTAGGATTTGAGTAAAACCAGAAACATGAAGGAGTTCAAGACTCTGTCTGATTCTTTGCATTCAGTAAACCTGCTCACATGAATTCACCTACAGTAAGTTTCATACAGCTGCCTGTCCTCCATTTGGTTCCATTTTGATATAAATAAATCATAAAATAATATTTTTTTACTCTGATCTATAGCAGAACTTTTACTTTCTAGAAGTCCTACCTTTAATTTTGGGTTACTGACTAACCTCTGGTTGCCACAACGAGCCTACAGACCACCCAGGATTTCACGATAGGCAGTGTGTGTGTGTGTGTGTGTGGTGTGTGTTTGTTTTTACTTATATCTTTGTGTAAAATATAATTGCCCCATCAGCATGTGGAGGTATGACACAAATATCCACTCATACTTTATACTCATGTGTTTTGCTGTGTGTTAACATTTATTCATGTACCTAAAGTAACTAAAGTGTGTGTGTGTGTGTGTGTGTGTGTGTGTGTGTGTATGTGTGTGTGTGTGTGTGTGTGTGTGTGTGTGTGTGTGTGTGTGTGTGTGTGTGTGTGTGTGTGTGTGTGTGTGTGTGTGTGTGTGTGTCTGTATGTGTGTGTGTGAAGCTAACCCGTCATTAGTGTGATTACACAGCTGTAGTCGACAGACAACGAGCTCCATTCATACGAAAATCCAGGCGTCCGATTTCAAATGACCGGGAGATGGTCTGTCCCTGTTCATGTTTCATTGTGTGTGTGTGTGTGTGTGTGTGTGTGTGTGTGTGTGTGTGTGTGTGTGTGTGTGTGTGTGTGTGTGTGTGTGTGCGTGCGTGCACGTGTGCGCGCATGTGCCACAGGAGATGGTGAGTTGTGAATAGAGTTAATAAATTTGCTCCAGAAGAATCAGTTTTTAAAAAAAAAAAAAAAAAGGACCAAATTACACATTTAGGGCATTTTTGGGGTGGGGGGTGGGGGTGGGGGGGGGTGTATGTGATAGATGCTCTTCACTTTTTTAAAAATCTAAACACAAAACTGAAAAAAACCCTTCAATTACTTTTTAATCAACTCTTTCACTATGAATTTGGAACAACATTTGAGTAGAAAATTACTGAAGTGCAACCAATGCAGACAAGGCAGGAAGTTGGTGAAAGACGTCCACGTAAAGATTTTTTCTCACACAGAAACAAACAGAGACATCTGCACACAAACACAGACTGACAGTAGCAGTAAACAGTTGACACTTCACTCAGACATTCAGTCTAACGCAGGACTCAGAGTCACACCAAAGCTGGAATTAAAACCAAAAAGTATCATCGTAACATCTTTGTTTTTGAGTGTTTTACCCTTTTGAGGCATCAAAAGTGTCACTTTGTTCGTTATCTTAAGTCTGTTGAAGAAATTACACCAGAAATGTATTCCTGATTAAATAAAAAATAGCTTATCCTTTCCTTTAAACAAGATATAGTTGACACCTCATGCTAATTAAAAAAATAAGAGAGAAAAGGTTTGTATAAGAAGCTGTTCAGATTCAACTTGTGCACTTTGTTTCATATAAATACCCAGATGGTACACATTCTGTGTCAACAGCTTTATTTTCACAATCAGATCTACTTGTATAGGACTGCATCTAAAAAACAAACACATGCATTTTTTATAAATATTAATGCACAATAATGCCTCCATGTTTATGCATGAATACCAATTAGCCATTTCCCCCACCTGGTATTTCACAAAGTCTATACAGTAGTGACAAACTTCGTTTATTTACTTTGGAATAACAATAAAATCAATTTCCATTGTGGAAAATTACATAAAAATTATATGATGTTACTCCTGAAAACTTTTTTTTAAGAATTTGCCATTTAGATGAATATGAAAAATCTGATTTCAAAATTAGATGAAAGTCACCTAACATTATTTTGACTGATATCATCTGAAATCAGTAATACATTTCTCCAGTTATTTGTTATCCAAACCCTTTGTATTGTGTTTTGACAAGAAAAAAAAAAGAAGAATAACACATTAAATAAGTTGCAATTTGTATAAGTTCAGAGTTCAAACATCAGTAAATATTTGAAGAAATTGGTCCAATAGTGGTCGATGCCGCTACATTCCTGTGACCAACAGCAACCATCACGGACATTCCTAAACTATTACACTGATCTGTTTCTGATGGAGTCTGTCTGTGCACCACCACGGCTTCTCAGCTATTAACTTTATTAACATTTCCTGGATCATAAGAGCCTAAGCTGCAGAAATGAGAAATAAATCAGTTCAAACCTTAAAATAGAATTGAAAGTGTTTTTATGGTTGGCTAGGGATGGGGAATAAAAGCCCTGTAAATATAAGTAAATGCATAATGAATGAGTACTGGTAGAGCTGTATCTTGGTATCCTGAGCTCATACCAGACAGATGGGAGAGTGACAGAATAACAAATTGGTCAACCAGGTTAATCATACCCAGAAAAGACAAAGACTTGAAGAGAAAAGACATCCACAAAGGAACAAAAGAGCTTTTGGAGACAGGATGACCAGAGCTGAAAGCTCAGGCTGGGCTGAGGTCACCACCCCATTTTTACTCACTGTTTCAAGTAATGAGTCGGTGAAAGGTCAAAGGTTGATCAGTCAACCCTTTACTACTCCTCCCTCAGAACTCTATATCTGCCCTCACACACACATGCACACACACAGTCAAGCTGAATTTGTGATTGCTGATATAATTCACCGTCTTTGCTTTCAAACAGTTATAGTGCCTTATATACCGTCCTGCTCTTCTCTTTTGTCACATCAAAGAGGTTCTGCTCACCATGTGACACTCCCTTCCAACAACACACACACAACACACAGATCAGAATGGTAAAACCCTCCTTACCTGATTCAAATGTTAGATCTTTACATTTCTGCAAACCATCAACATCTCACTGTGAGCTTTTTGTTACAGACTGTAGCTGCAAAGAGCAAAATTTTTGTGCTCAACCATAATTTTCTCTGGTCTCCAACCAAGCAGAGCTGGTTCCTAACCACAGATTTTTTTGTTCCACATTAGATTTAAAGAGGAATTATTTGATGCATGTTTTAAATATTGTCACGGCTTGTAAATGAATGCACCAGCATCAGGGGACATCTTCTGTTTCAAGTCCACTTTCCCTCCATTGACTTAATTTACAGTATTTTCTTTCCACAGACAATCAGAAGGTATCTCTTGTAACATACAGCCCTGGAGAGACATACTGTTAATAATAATAATGGTGATAATTATGATGAATATTGCATCTACACATTCATTACTTAATGGGTCAGAGTCCTCTGAGTTTGGGGTTCTAAGATTGCACAGATAATGTGTATCACTGAATCTCTTAGTATACATTAGGTCACTTCCCAGCAGTCCCTTGAGACTGAGGTTACTGTAACCTAACTCTGAGATGGGCAGATGTGTGTGGAGGTCAATAACACACTGTCCTAATAGAGCAACGGCAAGACTAAAAAGAGGTCAGGACACAGAAAACTGTCCAGACAAATGAGAAGGACAAAAATGGTTTAGAAATTATTGATTGGTGTAAAAGATTCTGGAAATCCATCTTTGCCTAATGCCATTTCTTATTTTACTATTATTTGCTTTGTTGACACCAACATGTTTATTAGAGCAACTCTAAATACAAGTTGAACGCTTCTTCCTCCTACTGGTTGAAAGCGGAATTACAATTGTTGTAAACAACCCTGCTGTAGCTAGCGCTGACAACGACCTAATGCTAACACAAGCCAACTGATACTAAAATAAGCCACCAAGTAAAAATATTCGCTCTGTTGGTCAAAAAATATATTAAGTCCAGAAGCAACAAAGCCAGATCACCTGGTCTGTGAGTTTGTATCCTCCTTTAGCTCCCTCGAACAAAGACCGGGCCGATGTTCACTCTGGCTCTTATCTTAGCCTCGAAAGGCATTACTCTCTTCCTATTACTTCCAAGCTCCGCCACGATGCCAGCAAAAAAAGCTAAATTCTTATTCTTCTCATGCTTTTTATTGAGAGTTGGCAAACTCATCGTCGTCTTCCTCCGCTTATCCGGGTCCGGGTCGCGGGGGCAGCATCCCAACTAGGGAGCTCCAGACAGTCCTCTCCCCGGCCACCTCCACCAGCTCCTCCGGCAGGACACCAAAGCGTTCCTGGAACAGATTGAAGATGTAACCTCTCCAACGTGTCCTGGGTCGACCCGGGGGCCTCCTGCCGGCAGGACATGCCCGAAACATCTCCCCAGGAAGGCGTCCAGGAGGCATCCTGACCAGATGCCCAAACCACCTCAACTAACTCCTTTCGATCCGGAGGTGCAGTGGTTCTGCTCCTAGTCCCTCCCGAATGTCCTAGCTTCTCACCCTATCTCTAAGGCTGAGCCCGGCCACCCTATGGAGGAAACTCATTTCGGCCACTTGTATCCACAATCTCGTTCTTTCGGTCATTACCCAAAGTTCATGACCATAGGTGAGGATTGGGACGTAGATCGACCGTTAAATCAAGAGCCTGGCTTTCTGGCTCAGCTCCCTCTTCACCACGACAGATCGGCTCAGCGTCCGCATCACTGCAGACGCCGAACCAGTCCGCTTGTCGATCTCCCGATCCCTCCTACCCTCACTCGTGAACAAGATTCCGAGATACTTAAACTCCTCCACTTGAGGTAGGACCTCTACCCCGACCCGGAGTTGGCAAGCCACCCTTTTCCGATCGAGAACAATGGTCTCAGATTTGGAGGTGCTGATCCTCCTCCCAGTCGCTTCACACTCAGCTGCAAACCTACCCAGCAAGAGCTGAAGGTCAGAGCTGGATGAAGCTAGGAGGACCACATCATCCGCAAAAAAACAGAGACGAGATTCTCCTGCCACCAAACTCGACACACTCCACACCACGGCTGCGCCTAGAAATTCTGTCTATAAAGGTAATGAACAGAACCGGTGACAAAGGACAGCCCTGGCGGAGTCCAACCCTCACCGGGAACAGGTCTGACTTACTACCGGCTATGCGGACCAAACTCACGCTCCTCTGGTAAAGAGACTGAATGGCCCTTAACAGAAAGCCACCCACCCCATACTCCTGGAGTGTCCCCCACAGGGTGCCCCTGGGGACACGGTCATAAGCCTTCTCCAAATCCACAAAACACATGTGGATTGGTTGGGCAAACTCCCATGCCCCCTCCATCACCCTTGCAAGGGTATAGAGGATCAGATTCAGAATCAGAATCAGAAAAGGTTTATTGCCATTTTCAGTGAACTAAACAATTCACAAACTAGGAACTTGCTTTGGTTCTAATGTGCTACATATAACATATAACATGAACGAATGAGCTGGTCCACAGTTCCACGGCCAGACCGACAACCACATTGCTCTTCCTCAATCTGAGATTCAACTATCAATTGGATGCAGCAGACAGGTACTGGACCCTTCTCTCCAGTGATCCCCCTATAGTTGGAACACACCCTCAGGTCACCCTTCTTAAAGATGGGGACCACCAACCCAGTCTGCCACTCCACAGGAATTGCCCCTGATGACCAAGCAGTGTTGCAGAGACGTGTCAACCACGACAGCCCTGCAACATCCATAGCCTTGAGATACCCAGGACGAATCTCATCTGCCCCCGGGGCTCTGCTGTTGTGTAGTTGTTTGACTACCTCAGCAACTTCTGTCCCTGAGATTGGACAGTCCATCCCCAGGTCTCCCGGCTCTGGTTCCTCCTCGGAATGCGCATTGGTGGGATTGAGGAACTCCTCAAAGTATTCCTTCCACCGTCCGACTATAGCCCCAGTTGATGTCAGCAGCTCCCCATCCCCACTCTAAACAGTGTGAGCGAGGTGCTGCCTTCCTCTCCTGAGGCGCCGGACAGTTTGTCAGAACCTCTTTGGAGCTGATCGATAGTCTTTCTCCATGGCCTCACCAAACTCCTCCCACACCCGAGATTTTGCCTCGGCAACTGCCACTGCTGCACCCCACTTGGCTATCCGGTACCTGTCTGCTGCCTCCGGAGACCCACAGACCAACCACACCCTGTAGGCCTCCTTCTTTAGCCTCTCTTCACTCGGGTGTCCAAAACATACGGCCGCAGGTCAGATGATATGACTACAAAGTCTATCATCGACCTGCGACCTAGGCTGCCCTGGTACCTAGTGTAAAGATGGGCATCCATATGTTCGAACGTGGTGTTCGTTATGGCCAAACTGCGGCTTGCACAGAAGTCCAATAAAGAAATACCACTCGAGTTCAGATCAGGCGGGCCGTTACTCCCAATCACACCCCTCCAGGTCAAGCTGTCATTGCCCACATGAGCATTGAAGTCCCCCAGCAGGACAATGGAGTCCCCTGATGGAGCACTATCTAGCACTCGTCCCAGGGACTCCAAAAAGGGTGGGTACTCTGAACTGATATTTGGCCCATAAGCACAAACAAAAGTCAGGACCCGTTCCCCGACCCAAAGGCGTACCCTCTTGTCCCCCGGGGTAAACCCCAACACACAGGCAGAGAGTCTTGGGGCTAACAAAAAGCCAACCCCAGCCCTCTGCCTCTCACCCGGAGCAACTCTAGCAAAGAAGAGTGTCCACCCCCTCTCAAGGACTTGGGTTCCAGAGCCAATGCTATGTGTCGAGGTGAGTCCGACTATATCTAGCCAGTACTGCTCAACCTCTGCCACAAGCTCCTGCTCCTCCCTGCCAGCGAGGTGACATTCCATGTCCCAAAAACCAGTTTCCTTGTCCAGGGATCGGACCGCCAAGGCTCCCGCCTTGGTCTGCCACCTGATCCGCACTGCACCGGACCCTTCATGTTCCTTCTGCGGGGTGGTGGGTCCACAGTCGAATGAGCCCATGTATCCGGTTCAGGCTGGGCCCGGCCGGGCCCCATGGGCGAAAGCCCGGCCACCAGGCGCTCGCTCACGGGCACCAACTCCAGGCCTGGCTTCAGGGTGGGACCCTGGTAAACCTCCGAGACGGGTACTCCGACTCTTTGAATTTACATCCATGAAAGATCCTCTGAACCGTTCTTTTTTTCTCACCCTTCACCTAAGACCAATTTGTCATGGGAGACCCTACCAGGGGCACAAAGTGCCCCAGACAACATAGCTCCTAGGATTAGGGCACTCAAACTTCACCACGATAAGGTGACGGTTCCAGGAGGAACCTTGAACCATCACTCCTCCTTGAGTTGGCAAACTGAATAAGCTAACTGCTAGCTTTTATATGAGCTACTAGCACAGCTATAGCAGTAATGCAGATAGACAGACCTCCCACTAGTGTTCGACTAGTGGGCGACGGTGGCACAGGAGTTAAGTGCTCGCCCCGTAATCGGAAGGTTGCAGGTTCGAGCCCCGCTCAGTCTGTCATTGTCGTTGTGTCCTTGGGCAAGACACTTAACCTACGTTGCCTGCTGGTGGTGGTCGGAGGGACCGGTGGCGCCAGTGCTCGGCAGCCTCGCCTCTGTCAGTGTGCCCCAGGGCAGCTGTGGCTACGTCGTAGCTCATCCCCACCAGTGTGTGAATGTGTGTGTGAATGGGTGAATGACTGATTGTGTTGTAAAGCGCCTTGGGGGGTTCCAGGACTCTAGAAGGCGCTATATCAAATACAGGCCATTTACTGTGGTTTCTGGACAGCAGAGTGCTGTCCCATGTGAAGTTGCTCAAGAACCACTGAAATCAGTTTTAAAGTAATAGTATTAAAGTATTAAAACTCTTTACTGTTGCTTTAATTTAACCCAAATGAACAGCAAATAATCTGAGACAATTTTCCAATGTGTCGAATAATGGTTTAAACTATTGTACCATTAGTCAAGCATTTTCCTTTGAACAAATGCTGGAGGAATGTGTATGTTCAGCCAGGACACAAAGAGTGTCACAACACTGTACTGGACAGAGATCTGAGACCATCAGTGTGTTGTTACTGCCAAAAGGAGTGAGGAGCTCTGTTAGGAATGTACGTCACTAAACCAAAAGACACAAAATCCACATTTAGCATGGTACATTTCACAGCGAGCGACAAAATTTGTTATACGTGCTTTATAATTCATGGATCTAGGATTATCATCAAACATGTAGACACAAAAGGGAAGAATCACACTATGAATTCCCACCCGGAGTTAAAACCACACCAACTGTGTCTGTTTCAGTTGGACTGTGTGAACTATGTGAAGATTGTGCACCACTATAACCGCACACACCTGTATGCCTGTGGAACCGGGGCCTTTCATCCTACTTGTGCGTTTGTGGAGGTGGGAAACAAAATGGAGGTGAGGAATGCATGAAAACAAAACAAAACCAAACTCACACTTTTACTCAGCCTCATCTTAATATAATCACAGAAATTATAAGAATATAACTGGAAGAAGGGTTGAAAACACAGCATGAAATAATAACTCCTCCCTGCCGTCATCAGGACCACGTGTTCAGGATTGATCCATCTAAAGTAGAGGATGGGAAAGGGAAGAGTCCGTATGATCCTAGACACAATGCTGCATCTGTGCTCATCGGTAATCGGAGCCACACACAAACATTTGAGTATTTATTTTCTAACACACTCTTGATTCTTAGGCATGTTGTACTTAGATGTTTTATGCTCATCATTGGACTTGTTTCCTAGGTGATGAACTATATGCAGGTGTGGCCACAGACTTGATGGGACGGGACTTCACCATTTTCAGGAGTCTGGGAAGACGCCCCTCAATCCGCACAGAGCAACACGACTCACGCTGGCTCAATGGTGAGTGTCTATCATAGAGACCCAGCATTCCCTTCATGTAAGAGTTTTAAACTAGGATCATTTTACACCCTGTTTACAAAGAAGGACCATTTTTGACCAACAATCTTACAGTTGATTACCATAACGGCCCTAAAGATAATCTTATCAGATAATCCTGCCATGTGTGGTGTGTTATAAGCACTCTTATCTGCTTAGAAGAACATCATAAATCCAGGTTTTCAAACATGTTGGATTGTCTTGTTTTGATTTTTGAGAACAAACAAATGTGCTGCCTGTTGAAAACTACGTGTAGTTAATCAAAAAAGGAGGTGACAGAAGTGTGCATCATGCACCTCATCCATTTTGTTAGTTTACTTTGCAGTCACGTTTATTTATTTATTTATTTATTTTTTGGAAGATGTCTGAGTGTGAGATGTCCGTGAGTGAGACTTTGTGGCACTTACACTCACCGTGATGTCTTTATCACCACGTGTGGTCTCGTGTGCTTTGAAAATCAGCTGATAATTTTAAAATGTTTCTGTGTAAACCGGGCTTTATTCACATCGCATAGAAGGTTTAGCAACAACTTGTGTTTTTCTACATGTTATGGTTAAATCTTTATTCAGTTTGAGATTTTAGAATATGAATAAATGAACAAACATCATGTAAACATTCTGTGCTTAAATGTGAAACTAAATATAAAACACCCTAACAGACAAATGCATGCACACACACACACACACACACACACACAGAGAGAGAGAGAGAGAGAGAGAGAGAGAGAGAGAGAGAGAGAGAGAGAGAGAGAGAGAGAGAGAGAGAGAGAGAGAGAGAGAGAGAGAGAGAGAGAGAGAGAGAGAGAGAGAGAGAGTAATGAAATATGCTGTATTTACTGCAGCTTTTCTTTTCTTTGTCTTTGTTTTCTGTTATCCAGAACCAAAGTTTGTTGGCTCTTTCTGGGTTCCTGAAAGTGAAAATCCTGATGATGACAAGATCTTTTTCTTCTTCCGGGAAACCGCGGTCGAGGCTCAGGGTTTGGGAAAGTCCACTTACTCTCGAATCGGACAGTTGTGCAGGGTGAGAGACGGCTAATATCAACAAAGTCTCAAAGTCTGGATAAATTAGATTTTATTATGTTGCAAGATGGACATAGGACCTAGATATTCCTTCAGAATAATACCAAGAATGTTTTTGAATGAGTGTTTTGTCTGGTCAGAATGACATGGGTGGCCAGCGGAGTCTTGTGAACAAGTGGACAACATTTCTCAAGACCCGTCTGATTTGCTCGGTACCAGGAGCTGATGGGAGTGACACATACTTCGATGAGCTGCGTAAGTTTACCACAGCCTAGGGCCACAAGCAACATGACTGTTGATGTGCAAATATATATATACATATATGTATACTGTATATATATATATATATATATATATATATATATACACATAGTACAGACTCATCTACATTTGTAAGGTGCCGGTTTGGCAGGAAGCAACTAAAACTCACTGAGTTAGAAATCTCGCTTCGGGGCAGAAAAAAAACTTTCATTTCCAAAACAGTCAATCCAAAAGATGCCGCAGTGTAATCTATGAATGCATTTTTAATGATTTAGAAGCCAGACAGAAAGTTGAACATTATCTGATTGTCAGCAGATTACTTCTGGATTTCTACTCAGAAACATAATCAGATGTTTCCAACAGGAAGTGTTAAGAAGAGCCTGACAAATGAACTATTTCTGATGTGAGTTAAGGATTATCACCACATCCCAGATTTGTGTAGACTAGGAAAAATATTTGCAGACTGTAAATCATTAATCAGAACTAAAAACATTTGAAGCTACTTTTGTACTAATGGCATTTCTATGTAGATTGCAGCTACTGATTCCTTGGGGTGGCTCAATTTGTCTTTAAACAAATGTTCTGCAGAGAAATCTTAAAACAACTCAAATTATTTCAAGAAAATTCAACAACTTCTGTTACTTGAAATAAAAACAGTCGGCCTGCAAAGGAAGAATTTCCTTGTTGTATTTTGAAGGTTGTGTTGTTATACAACCCTTCTGAAACCTGCAGTCATGGGATTCACTCAGCAGCTGCTTATTCAGAAAAGATGTTTCATTTTTGAAGGATCAGTCCGTTCATTTATCTGGGCAAGAATGTGCCTTTCCCATTAAAGAGGGAACGGTTAACTAAGTGGAAGGCTTTGCTCAAGCTTTACCTTCACCAACCGCCACCCCTGTCAATCACAAGTCTCTTATCTTGACAGTGGGTTTGTGACGACACCTGAGGCCAAAAATGAAGAAAAAAAAACCTTTGTTGTGGAATGGTGTGACTGTACACACATTTTTAATAGATGTATTAGAGATAATAAGTACCACGATCTGGCAAGTTACTAAAATATTTAGATGTTCTGTTAAAATGAAGTTTACTAACCAGATTATTGGACTGCAAAGGATTTTCTTCCATGTCATGACCTCCAGTAATCAGTCTCTTAAAAGTGGTTAGACATGTCCATGGGGCATTGTTTACCTTTGTTCTGACCTTTAACCTCTGGCCTACTGCCACCTGACCTGAATGTGTCTGTGTGTGTCCGTCCTCAGGCGATGTGTTTCTGCTGCAGACCCGGGACAGAAAGAACCCCCTGGTTTACACCGTTTTTTCGACTTCCAGGTCAGAATTTATTCATGCGCATGAACATTTGTGCACCTCTTTCTCCTTCTCCGTGTGCGTGCAGGAGAGAAGGAACAATGAGAGCGCATGCCTGTTATGTGCTTGTTTGTCATGACTAACCCTGCTCCCGTTGTTCCCCAGCAGCAGTGTGTTTAAAGGCTCAGCTGTGTGTCTTTACTCCATGAATGACATCCGGAGGGCTTTCCTGGGGCCTTTTGCTCACAAAGAGGGGCCCAACTACCAGTGGGTCCCTTTCCAGGGAAAAGTCCCGTATCCTCGCCCAGGAATGGTATGCCAGCCTTTGCAGTGCATTACAGAGCAATGGCAACTATTTATAATTACAATGTGGGTGAGGGCATAAAGTGATGTGACAAACTATTGACCAGAAATTGTTACAATATTCCTTTTTTACGTTAGGTAAAATTCCATATGATGTAACACATGTAACACGTTTGTGTAACATTTTTGGGACTTTGGTAAAAAAAATTAAGACAAATCTTCACTATTTGGTAAATTAGTTATCAAATTCCAATTCCTCATTGGGAACGTCGTTTACTAATCAAAGCACAGGGAGAGCGTCTGTTTGACGTAGAAAGCAGCGTTCGATGACCAGAAGAAGCAACGTTTTTTACAACGCTCTGTAGGAGACCAGAAAGCGCCGTGGGGTCTTTCCAATATCCTTTTCAGATTTAGATGTTCAAAACGGCAATTCTAAAGCAGTGACAACTTTGCCTATCTTTCTTTCCTTCCATTCTGCTTCACCAGCAACTCTGTCAAATTTTAAAATGTTGGGTGTTTGGCGACATCTGGCAATAACAGTTCCTATTGAGTTGCAACCAATCAGAATCAGTTAACCCTCCCACTGTCCTGATGGGTGTGACCCCGCGAGGAAAGTTGACCATTAAGCAGGGTTGATGGTTTATCCCTTGTGTCCACGTGGCAGGGGTGAGGAGTGAGCACCACCTCACCCCTGCCACGTGGATCTCAAGGGATAAACCATCAACCCTGCTTAATGGTCAGCTTTCCTCGCGGGGTCACCCATAAAGACTGTGGGAGGGTTAAAGGCACACTTGGCAGTTTTGCTTGCTTTAAGCACCTCCTAGTGTTCGTTATTAATTGCCTGTGGTTAAACCAAAAATGAAACATATCTCCCCGCTGTGCATTTGTCTTTTTAACATCTTAATCTAAGAGCTGAAATGTCTCTCCAGCCTTCACTGGGTTCTATAGGAGTGGTTCGTCACTAAAATAAACGTATCAGCTGTGCTCATGATCTAAAACATGCAGTAAATGTGCTGGAAGCAGACTGCAGCACTGGCATGCCGCTCTGAAGTTGCAAATGCGGTATTCATCAACCTTGTGAAGGGTCATTTTAGCACATACTGACAAAATAAATTATTTAAAAATATGAAAAAGTTGCATAGTATGGCTTTAACCATGAAGCTTGGTTTATGCTTGACACATTCACTTTCCGCGCGGTGATGTGGCTCGCGGATAGAACGCGCTTCACAACTTGCAGCGTTTATGGTTCGTGCGGCTCGTCTCTGCGGTGAGCCAATATTCTCCCAAACTGTAGGGGGCAGCATGGAGCTCTACGGCATGCATCCAACACTACACCATAGTAGAAGTAAAAACTGTTGTTTACAACATGGCATTCCAGCATTTTTAACAGCGTCCTCGTCTTTTCCGACAGTGCGAGCTATTTCTCTCCAAGAATTATTAACAACATGTTGATCACGGTGATCTCTGAGAGCTGAATCATACAAATGTCTGTATTTATGAACCTCTGCCATACTAGTTCTTGCTGGTCCGCCATGTTTTTCCGCGTCCGACCGTCCGCGTGGTTAGAAATTTTCGTAGGTGCGCGTTGCGGAAATTTTGGGCGGTGCGGAGGCGCGGCGGAGGGGCGTGGCTGTTAAAATGACGCAACTTTTCCGCGCGGAGCCGTGCGGACCTCGCGGACACGTCAAGCATAAACCAACCTTAAGTCCCATCCATTGACTCTTTTGGCCATTTCCGAGTACATATCCCAGTTCAGGTACTCAGTTGATCTCTGAAATGGACCGGAAGGTGGTCTTTCAGGCCAGCATGGTGAAATGGAGACACGTGCATGCTACAAACATTTGCTCAAATTACCCAGAATTTGTGATAGTGTGATCAGGCCTTGGTAGCAGAAAGTGATCAAGCAACTAAGACAGACGCTCTGATGAATTTTTCCTTTTCAAACCTGACAATGCATTCAAAATCTCAGCACTTATATGGTTTTCATGCAAATGAGGATGCCTGCAAAGTTACCGCATTTAGCCTTATTGGATCCTGTTTTTGGTTTCAGGCTTTCATGCTGCCTAGCGCCAGCATTTAACTAGATTTTAGGAGATTTGAAGACAAGGAATCTGAATAAAAGTTTGGGCTTTGGGGCTGTGAATGTGTGTTGCTGAAATTTAGTCTACAAATATGATTTGTTAAAAATCATACTAATTTTAATTTAATCAGTTTATGATGAAATTCTGGTTCTCAGACCTTCTTTTCCTTTAGAAATTCTCCACATTCCTCCCAATCAATATCACAGCTCTAACACCCTGGTAAGCACACAAGCGTTGGGTCAGCAGGATCTTTTCTGCTGAACTTCAGCTGCTGCTGCAGCAGTTGAACGACCCTCGCTGCAGAAAAGTTATTGTGTTTTCCCTAAAATCAACTCTCCTTCACATCTCCTTCACCTCACTGGGCTGTAAAACCACAAAATACATCAGATTTTAAGAACTCAATCAATTATGGTAAATAATTCAGAAGTGCTGGTTGTAAACGTGTTGTGTTTTAAAAGCACAATCCAGACTAACAAAAAGAAAATGTATTAACTTACATAGATTTTAGTTTTAGAGGTGTCACAAGCTGCTGAAGTGCATCTGAGTGTGGAGAAAATCCTGAAGTGGAATTTTAATCTGAGAAGCTGGACTCTGACCTGGAGTAAACCTTTTTCCCATTACATTACAATGACCTCGCTGTCGCCTGTTCAACAGAGGAACACTTCAATTAAACAAATTCCCAATAACCGATTACACAGCAGGGGAGTTAAAACTCAAGTTTGTTTGAAATATGTTTCAGCTAAAAATCTGTCAACTTTAGAACCTTTTTGAAATTAGTTCCAATAAAATGGAGCTTTAGGGAACAATTTGTCTTTATAAATCTCTGTTTTCTCCATTAGTGTCCCAGCAAGACATTCGGCAGCTTTGAGTCCACAAAGGGCTTCCCTGATGATGTGATCCAGTTCGCGCGTCACCACCCTCTGATGTACAACCCTGTCTACTCAATGGGCCGGCGACCCGTCTTCGTTAGGACGAACGTTGACTACAGCTTCACACAGATTGTTGTGGACAGAGTCAATGCTGCTGATGGACAGTATGATGTCATGTTCATTGGCACAGGTATCAGAGAATTTTTACCTTTCCAGATTATTTGTTGCAGGTGTGAAATGAAGGTAAACTAATGGTTTGCGTGTTATTTCAGACAAAGGGACAGTGCTGAAGGTGATCAGTGTCCCCAAGGAGAGCTGGAACAACATGGAGGAACTTTTACTGGAAGAGTTGGAGGTTTTTAAAGTAAGAAGAATATAAAAGGTTTAACATGGATGAGGTTAAAATCAAAAGAAATATTGCATCATACTGAACTCTCATTTTTATTTCATGTAGATAGAGGTTTAAGCCTTAAGCTTTTTTTACACCCAATGTCTTTTTCTGAGACTTGTTGTTCAAATAAACATGGACTAAAGAGGTCAGAAACAGACTGGATAAAGTATTACAACTAGTGGTGAAAACTATAGAATTCCTTTATTATAAGGAATGTGGCTGTCTCTATGACGGATGTTTTTATTTACCCTTTAAAAGTATAGTCTCATATAACTGGTTGAATGCCAATCTTTTAAGAACCAGTGAATGACATGTTAGTTAAATTGAGATATTTGTTTTTTAGGATGCTTCGCCTGTCACAAACATGCAGATTTCCTCTAAACGGGTAAGTTTGCTACATCAATAATACAAAGGAACACATTTAAAAATAAGGCAAAAAACTGATCCTTGTAATCCGAGGATGAACGAATGAATGAAGTTTTGTGTACATGTATTTATGTATATATATATATGGATGGATGAATGAATGCGTGCATGCATGTATGTATTGATGGATGGGTCTGCACATGCATTTGTGCATGTATGTATGTATGTATGTATGGATGTATGTACTGTATTTATGTATGTATGTACCGTATGTATGTATGTATGTATGTATGTAATGTATGTATGTACTGTATGTATGCATGTATGTATGTACTGTATGTATGTAATGTATGTATGTATGTATGTATGTATGTATGTATGTATGTATGTATGTATGTATGTATGTATGTATGTACTGTATGTATGTATGTATGTATGTATGTATGTATGTATGTATGTATGTATGTATGTAATGTATGTATGTATGTATGTATGTACTGTATGTATGCATGTATGTATGTATGTATGTATGTATGTATGTATGTATGTATGTATGTATGTATGTATGTATGTATGTATGTATGTATGTATGTATGTATGTATGTACTGTATGTATGTATGTATGTATGTATGTATGTATGTATGTATGTAATGTATGTATGTATGTATGTATGTACTGTATGTATGCATGTATGTATGTACTGTATGTATGTAATGTATGTATGTATGTATGTATGTACTGTATGTATGTATGTATGTATGTATGTATGTATGTACTGTATGTATGTATGTACTGTATGTATGTATGTATGTATGTATGTATGTATGTACTATATGTATGTACTATATGTATGTACTGTATGTACTGTATGTATGTATGTACATATGTACTGTATGTATGTATGTATGTATGTATGTATGTATGTATGTATGTATGTATGTATGTACTGTATGTATGTATGTATGTATGTATGTACTGTATGTACTGTATGTATGTATGTATGTATGTATGTATGTATGTATGTATGTATGTATGTATGTATGTATGTATGTACTGTATGTATGTATGTATGTATGTATGTACTGTATGTACTGTATGTATGTATGTATGTATGTATGTATGTACTGTATGTATGTATGTATGTATGTATGTATGTATGTATGTATGTATGTATGTATGTATGTATGTATGTATGTACTGTATGTATGTATGTATGTATGTATGTATGTATGTATGAATGGATGGATGGACGGATGGATGGATTGTCGTAGAGTCAGATTACGTAAAAACACAATTATATTTTTTGAAGCTGTTCTAAAACTGTTCATCTGTAGATGAAACAGTGTTTTTATCAGACTATACTGAACCAGAAAGTTACAGAAATCATTCAGCCTCACCTGGAGGCATCATAAATTCTCAGCACTCACGTGGAGCTGAATGTTTGGATTCATGACAGATAACAACTCATGTTATTTTTAATCCCACACATTCCTGAACACCTCTTATCAAGCCTTCCCGTCTACTTTCTGCATGTTTTTAACAGCAACAGCTGTATGTTGGCTCCGACACGGGAATCGCCCAGGTCCCTCTTCACCGCTGCAGTGTTTATGGGAAGGCCTGTGCTGAGTGCTGCCTGGCCCGAGACCCGTACTGCGCCTGGGATGGGACTTCCTGTACTCGCTACCTGCCAAACACTAAAAGGTCTGCGATTGAATCATACAACATGCACATATGATCAGTGCTCAGTGTATAAAAGACGATGTGAAATCTTTCATTTCTGTTTTATCAGACGTTTCCGTCGTCAGGATGTACGGAATGGAGATCCTAACACCCTCTGCTCTGGAGGTAAAATTACTGCATTTGTGACTCATTAAGAAAACCTTCCTATGTACATTTATATAGGAGATTTTAAAAACAGATCATTTTATTCCAACATCAAAGAAATATCTAACCTTTCAGCCTGTAAAACACCCAGAATACTTCTCTGTGGGTGACACCCCCCTCCCAGATCACAATACCAGCATTTTTCCTCAATCTGTCTTACTGCCACACAGCTAAATCAGGCTAATCACTCCAGCTGAAAGAGCTCCTGAGTAATGCGATTACATCAAGTGGCATGCAATCCGGCTGAGTTAAACTAATGAAGGTCAGAGTAATTGTCTTCGATGTGATTGGCCTTGCCCCAAAGTGCTGATCAGTCTGTACACCATTGTTTCTCCAGTAAACCAGATGCCGCTGCAGCTACCTCTTTCCTTTAATTCTTTTCAAGTTCTTTTAGCTAGGAGAGAAATCCCAGTCAATATGTTGGTGATAAAAATTCCAAACAGAACACACTTTCTTTAAATTTCCAATCAGCCATAAAACCAGCTGTTAAAACAAGATTTTATTGTCCAATAAATATGTATAACTGCTCAGTTCAAATCTCTGCTTTAATATTTATATTCCAAAGGAATGACTATTACATATTTCATTACATGCTTCTCTTTCTATAGTATTGTGCCCAGTTCCATGTTGAAAAAAAAAAACCATATTTTTATTAGGAAACATCCAAACTGAAATCCCAAACATGATATTTCTGTCTCTGCTGCCACCTGCAGACCACCACAAGCATCGCGTGGCAGAGAGGAAGTTGTATGGAGTAGAAGGAAGCAGCACTTTCTTGGAGTGCATCCCCAAATCCCTTCAGGCCAAAGTCACCTGGACATACCAGAAACAACCACAGAACCCACGGGAAGAGGTGAGGAGGCTTGCAGAATGCACATTTAGTAATGACGTGGAGTCTGAAGTACATTATACTTGAAAAGCACGGAGATGATGATCAGTCTTACTTTCAAGTTTTCATTTCAAGCTGTCCTTGAAGTTAACAGTGTGCAATAATCACACGTGAAGAATCTTTATTGCCATCATTCAGTCAGATAACTTTGCATTAGTTAATAATTTTGTAGAATGATAATGTATTCATACAACTTAAAGTTCAGCTTCAACAGCAGTTATGAATGTTTGAGGACTTTGTTTGATCATGTTTGTTGCCTTCAGGTACGTCTAGACGATCGCATCCTGCAGACGGAAAGGGGCCTCCTAATTCGCCGTGTCCTAAAGAGAGACATTGGCGTCTATCAGTGCCATGCCATGGAGCACGGGTTCACCCAAACATTGCTGGGTATCACCTTGGAAGTTGTACCATCATCATCATCTCCCTCCATCTCTAATTTACCCTCTGATGCACCAGTCCGATTAGATCCCCGCAGCGGAGGTGGTTCCTCATTACCCAATCAAAAGTTCTGGTACCGAGACTTCATGCAGCTGGTGGACCACCCCAACCTCAGCACCGTCGACCAGATTTGTGAGCAAGTTTGGGCACGGAAAAATGCCGGCAGCGACCAGATGGATAAGATTTTCCCTGCTGCCGGGAAGGACATCCTGCCTCAGGGTCCACCTGTCCGGCCAGCGAATAAGAAGTGGAAGCATCTCCAGGAAATCAGGAAGGGGAGAAACCGCAGGACCCATGATGGGAAACCGAACCCTCGGGCTCCACGCAGCGCAGGGGAGTAACGAAGCAGAGACTGAGATGGAGAAAGAAAAGACTGGTGGGCCAAGAACTCATGGAGGTCCTCATACATACAGTTACATGTGTCTACGCCACACACACACACACACACACACACACACACACACACACACACACATACACACACACACACACACACACACACACACACACACACACACACACACACACACACAGTACCTCCTGTATTGTGTATATTTATCTACGGATTCTACGCGGTACAGCATTCCCTGAGTCCTCATCCCAGCTCCTGCATGTGCTGCCTTACAGCCCAGACGTCCTCTGCACGATCCCTTTACACCGTTCCACTAGAACAGTCCGACGAACAAGCGAGTACTTGGGAATAAACACTCACTCATACTCATCTGTCATTTCGATGCCAGTGACTGTAGACGGAAGGCCTATTCATGGGCTCATCCTAATCTAAACAAGTAAACTTTGTAATTTACACGGTAACCAGCAGCTTCCCAAACGCCTGGATGAACTCGGTTCGGTTGTACTGATGCAACAGACTCAAGAAAAATGCTACAACTGGAAAATGTTATGGACTCAACTGGAACACAAAACATGACTACTTCGTGCTACTACGACTAATCGTGCGAGGATTCACTTGTTTGAAACCCTGATCAACTTCCTGTGGCCATCTTGGTGCACATTTTTCCATTAATTCCACTTTTCATATCTTTGTGCATAGATTAATGAATAGATGCCAGCAACAGTGGAGCACATTCGTATGTCGCAAAACTTGTATATAATGTAGGTTGCTTTTCCCTTTTTAACATTTGAAGTTTTCTTAGGCACATCGAGGCATGTTGCAGCAAAAAAAGAAAAGAAAAGAAAATCACTCATGATACGTAGGTGGTGCGGTTAGAGTCAGAACTGGTCCGGTTGGATATGGTTCTTTGCTGGTTAAAACCACTAGTGAACAGAGAGAAAGAGGAAATGTTTACAGTGAAAACACAGTCAGAATCAGCATGGGGTGCAGTAGAGTTCACATATTATCATGGTTCTGCACAAAAAACGACACATAATAAACACTTGGAAGAGAGGATGAGATAACACAGAAAAATGGGCAAAATATGCAAAAACGGTTCAAGTTGTATAAACAATTGCAGATATGCATGTTTTAGACATTGGAGAAAAATGAGCCAGTGAGAGAAAACTGTTGTTGTTACATAAGGTGCTGGTTCTGATGGGCCGTGGTCTGCAGAGGGGAACAACTCCAATATGTATTTTCAGCATGGGAGGTGTCTGAAGCTTTAAATTGAAAACAGCAAACAAACAGAACAAGATCATCAATTAGGTTTTTTCTTAAATTATATATGAATTGGCAAATAAGATCTGTCATAATTTAAAGCTTTCATTAAAGAGAAGACATGAAAATGGGCAGAAACATTATTATTATTTTATTCAAATGTGTACTTTTTTCCTTCACTCAGTTCTAGCATAACTATTCTGTGATAGAGTAACATGAAACGTGCGATTTAAGATTATTTTCTTTGTTCTTCACAGTAAAATGTGCTCAAAGCTGCACTGCTTTACCCACAATGCATTTCCATGTTTCCAAATAGATGACAAAATCTCAATCACCATTGAAATCACTCTTTGTGTGGAATTAAAGTCCTTTAGAGGATAAAATTTGCTGCTTGGGGATGTCACCTCTTCAACACTTACAGCTGGTACTATAAAGTCGTCCTGTTCTATGTCCTATTGATCTTACTCTTTATTAAACTAAAGAAAGTTTGTCTACCATAGTGTGTTTAGTCTGCCCCCTAGTGTTCAATGTTTGTACAAGCTGTGGTACCATAGTGTAATATATCCTGGTCTGTCTACAGTACAAAGAAGGAACTGACGGGTGTGGAATGACTTTTAAGTTGTCTGGGTTTTTTGCAGCTTTCACTACAAAGTCCTGGTTTCAGTAAAACTGGCTTTAATTGGTGCATTCAGTAAGTCACTATCTCCAAAAGAGAAGCAGCAAAAACCAGTTCTGTGTGTGGATTTTAGATGTATGATATCATTGTCATTGTTATTTATATACCTTCTTTATAGATGTGTAATTAACAGAACGTATTGACGCCTACAAAAGGGACACTTTGCATTTTGACACCACAAACAGGAAGAGGTCGAAACACACGATTAAATCTCTGATTTGAATTGTTGCAGGATGCTCTTGATTCGTGCATTCCCCACCAATGTGTTTAGACCTCAATGTAAACCGACTTGAAATGTCATTACATCACATTTAAATGAAAGATCACTTCAATCATGAATAGAACATTCACATGATCAGTGGTGTCAAACTGAGTCTCCCTTTTTAGTCAGCTGTTGTTTTGTAACTGAATTTGCATGTTTAAGGTTTTAACATATTCAGCAATGATGGGGTTACAAGAAAAAAGCAAGAAAGTTAAAGAAAGCACAATCTTATTATTGTTATTATTATCATTTTTATGTATTTATGTGCAGAGATAAACTTATATGTTGTGGTGGAGTTTTTTTTTTCCTTCTAAATGTAGATTTCCATCTGTATGGTACACGCCCTCTGTGTTTTTCATCAGTGGAGAAGAGTCTCCGATTAAAGTCTTGGTTGTTCAAACAGCCCGCCAATCTAAACTTCCCTTGTATCCTTATACCATGTGATCACATGAAGAGGCTGTGTGTGTGTGTGTGTGTGTGTGTGTGTGTGTGTGTGTGTGTGTGTGTGTGTGCACGAACGCGTGTGTGTGTGTGTGTGTGTGTGTGTGTGTGTGTGTGTGCACGAACGCGTGTGTGTGTGTGTGTGTGTGTACATGAACGATGTAGGTCATCGTGTCAGGGATTTAAAATCACGATTATACCACTAATAAAAACACGTATTCAGCAATATTCACCAATCCTGCATCATTCTAATAAAGACAAAATTTGAAATATCTTTGCTTGTGAGTTTATCAAATGTCAAATGTTCTGTAACTCTGTTTTAGGTCTCCATTAGAGCAGAGGAAATTTAACGAGCAGCTGTGAAAAGACACCCCCCCCCCCCCCCCCCCCCCGAGGATTTTTCTTTTCTGTTCTGTCAGGAGAGTTTTTTTAAATCAGCTAGAAAATAAAACCCAATAGAACTAAAATAAAATAAACAACTTGGACAATTAAAACTAAATAAAACCACTGAGAAGTAATAAATCTTTGAGTTTGGAATAATTAGAAATGACACACAGTTCGATCACCTTAGAATAAAAGTGAATCTACTGTGATGGAATGTAATATATATATATATATATATATATATATATATATATATATATATATACACACACACACATTTATTTATGTTTTACATCCAATAGCTTTAGGTTAGGTTACAGCAAATATGTTATTGTGTGATTCTGTTTGTGTGTTTGATTGTTCAACATTTTTTAAATAACATTGTTTGGAAGGTTTCCCACTGCTGCCAGCTACTGTCCTGTAGATATAGGGAGCCTAAGGCACCTCCGCATCGTGGGTCCCCAGAAGAACGAAAAAACGAATGTAAGTCAACGGGGCTACAAACGGTATTTTCTAATCCGCTTTGCCTTAGATTCTGGATCTCACATATGTTGTACTGTAATTTAAATGAAAAGTAATCATGGGTTTTTCGACCACGCCTGTCATGTACTTAGAGATTTACTAGCTTGTAAAAGTTCGTATTTAGCATGACTAGAAACTAGAAATCGGCACATTGCATATGTGACTTCACCACATGATCTCCTCTCCCCAAAGTAGGTGCTACTTACCACATGACCAGATTTACTGTGGTTCTTTCCTCCTGTGGAAAGTTTGCTGAACTTACAGCCCTTTTCCCTCAGTTTTCTTCGTGTCTGGTTCGATGACGTCACTGTCATGAAGCACATTTGGGGGTACTTCGGGAGTACGGAGCACCAGGCCCTCTGATACAGGCTGTTAGGTCCCTGTATGACTGGTGTCAGAGCTCGGTCCGCTTCTGCGGCAGTAAGTCAGGCTCGTTCCCGGTGATAGATTCCACCAAGGCTGCTCTTTGTCAACGATTCTGTTCATAACTTTTATGAACAGGATTTCTAGGTGCAGCCAAGGTGTTGAGGGGATCCGTTTTGGTGGCCTGAGGATTGGGTGTCTGCTTTTGCAGATGATGTGGTCCTCTTGGCTTCATCAGAATGTGATCTCCAGCTGTCCCTGGAGCGATTTGCAGCCGAGTGTGAAGAAGCTGGGATGAGAATCAGCTCCTCTAAATCCAAGACCTTGGTCTTGATTCAGAAAAAGGTAGAATGCCTTCTTCGGGTTAGGGGTGAGATGCTGCTTCAAGTGGAGGAGTTAAAGTATTGCAAGGTCTTGTTCACGAATGAGGGAAAGCTGAAGAGCAAGATTGATAGACGGATTGGTGCTGCTTCTGCAGTGATGTGGGCGTTGTACTCATCTATCATGGTGCAGAGAAAGCTGAGCCGGAGGGCGAAGCTCTCGATTTACTGGTCGATCAACGTTCCTACCCTCACATATAGTCATGAGCTGGGTAGTGGCCAAAATAACGAGATTTGCGTAAACAAGCAGCAGAAATGAGTTTTCTCCACAGGGTGTCTGGGCTCTCCCTTAAAGATGGGGTGAGAAGCTCGGTCATCTGGGAGGGACTCAGAGTAGATCTGCTGCTCGTTAGCATGCCTCCTGGATGCCTCCCTGGTGAGGTTTTATGGGCACATCCAACTGGAAGGAGACTTAAAGGAAGACCCAGGACAAGCTGGAGGGACTATGTCTCTTGACTGGCCAGGGAAGGCCTTGGAATTACCATCTGCGCCAGTGCGGAAACATGCAACACCATTGTGCGACACTGCAAAGGCTCTCCGACAGGCTCCCAGAGGGTGATGGAGACATGCCCAAAATTTTAAACATCCGTCGAAAATGACGGAGACAGCAAGCTTGTGATTGGTCAGGATGCCACTTCCTCTATAATCGTCACCAGCACCGCTGTAGCTTTGTTAAAAAGTAAACAGATATTTAGCGGCAGACCCAGAACAGATTGAAGAACACATCGGGGGAAAAGTCCAAAAATATGAAAGTTTCTTCACCCGTGAGTGAAGGAGTATAAAATACGGAGCAAACGTGGACGGAAATGACAGAACATGTGGGTGTAGAGGTGGTGACCGCATGAAGAGGCGGAGGGGAATGAAGGACAAATTTGTCCATGTAATAAAGTCTCTGAAATATTTATACACATCAGTAAATATGCTATCGTGGACCGGATTCATGAGTGTTATAGTGACAGGATACCACAGAACAGTGCTACGCCCTCTGTTGTCCTGGCGGGTAATTGCTTTGCAACACTGCTGCCTGAGCAGAAGTTCGAATGTGAAAACCTTTCCGAAACTCCTTGTGCATCACTCCGTCACGAAGCTCGCAGAGAAGTATAAACCAGGCTTTAGGCTGTTGCCCCTGTGACCCGACTCCGGATAAATGGAAGAAAATGGATGGATGGATGGATGGATGGATGGATGGGTGGATGGGTGGATGGGTGGATGGCATTATATTATACTTTTCATTCTGTTCATATTTACTGGCATATTGCAAATCTCATGTAAAAATAAAAAAGATCTATGTCTTGCTTTTTCTGTCTTTTTTCAGTTCAAAAATGTCTAACTGGGTTTAGTTCTAAAGTTGGGACTCTGCATGTTATTTATGTGCACATTACCAACAAAATCAGTGAAATTAGTGCAGAATAAACTGTTCTGTCACAGACAGGACAGTAGATGGCAGCAGTGGGAAACCTTCCAAACAATGTTATTTAAAAAATGTTGAACAATCAAACACACAAATAGAATCACACAATAACATATTTGCTGTAACCTAACATAAATCTATTGGATGTAAAATAGTAATAATACATTATTACATGCCATCACAGTAGATCCACTTTTTGTCCAAGATGATTGAACTGTTTGTCATTTGTATTTATTCCAAACTCCAAGATGTATTACTTCTCAGCGGTTTGATTTATTTTTAATTGTCCAAGTTGTTTATTTTAGTTTAGTTCTATTGGGTTTTATTTTCTAGCTGATTTAAAAAAACTCTCCTGACCCAACAGAAAAGAAAAATCCTCAGAGAGAGGGGGTGTGTGTCTTTTCACAGCTGCTCATTAAAATTGCTCTGCTCTAATGGAGACCTAAAACAAAGTTACAGAACATTTGACATTTGATAAACTCACAAGCAAAGATATTTTTAATTTTGTCTTTATTAGAATGACACAGGATTGGTGAATATTGCTGAATAAGTGTTTTTATTAGTGGTATATTTGTGATTTTAAATCCCTGACATGATGACCTACATTATTCATGTTAATAACTCCATGACCTGTATGTCAGCACAGGCACATGTGCACTGGTGCACACACACACACACACACACACACACACACACACACACACACACACACACACACACACACACACACACACACACACACACACACACGGTAAGAGGAAATAAACTAGGTCTGCATTTCTTGCCTCTTAAACTGGCCTTCAGTGCTCTGAACATGTAAAGTTTGAAACGGTCCACTGGGTCCTGATTTAGAGCTCATTTCCTCACAGCTTTGTTCTGCACATCACTCAATGTGTTTGACTTTCCCTCTTGTGATGACTGGTTTTTTTATGCTTTAAGAATCAGGACATTGTTGCACAATCGCCTTTTTGTCACTTACTGGATATCCAAACATGACTTTATTATTGAAACTTGAAATCCCATGCTACATTAAACTAACAGAACAGGTCAAAACTAATATTTAGCTGGTGCCTATCTCCACAGCAGTCAACGGGCAAACAGGCGGGGTACACCCAAGCCCCCACAATGCAGCTCAAAAATTGAGGCCAACCCGGAAGTACCAAAAATTGCAGTTCCACCCTCATCCGCTGGGGGCTGGTGTCAGAAGCGAGCAAATCCTCATTGACTCCCATGTTAAAAATACCAATTTCACAGCAGAAATAAACATGTTTACAGCCTGGTACCAAAACATGTTTTTTGGTTAAATGATCTAGTTTACACTCATGACAACTCTGAGGGGGGTGAATTTTTTCTCACTCTTCTGTTTAAGTGTATTAAAAGCCTAAAATTCTGTATAATTAATGAGCATCAGACCCACGTGACCACAGAGCTAGCTCCGTGGAAAGGCCTCAGTAGAGCCTCGGTCAAACTGTTCCGGGATTTTGAGTCTCTGTGTTTGTGCATTCTTGTTTGGATATTTTTTGTGCAATTGTTGGACAAAATGACTTTCTGTGGTATTAATTGCACCAATAGAGCGTCCAAGGGTCTCCAATTCATTTTTTTCGGTAAGTAAAATTATATTTATGTATTTTAGGTCACTGCCGAGCTGAGCTTAGATTTTAACATGTACTGTTTAACCATGAAATTAAATGTAATAGGGTAAAACCCAATGCATTTAACATAATGCTGCACTTTAGAAAATGGGTTGAAATATAACATGTTGGTGGAGCTGGGTTCCGACTATCGGCTTGTGGAGCTCTCGGGAGACCGATGTTTTCCACCCGGTTCTCCCCTCCCCGCAGCTCGACGCATCTCTGTCTGATCGCGGCTTCGGTCTGCTGTGCGGGCTGCCGGCTTGTGGAGCTCTGGAATGGAAACCTTTCCCCCGGTTCTCCCCAGCGGCAGCTCTGTGCATCTCGGATCGCAGCGGCGCTTGTCTGCTGTGCGGGCTGCCGGCTGTCAGCAGCTTTCGGGAGACCTCTGTGTTCCACCTGGTTTTACCCAGCAGTCAGCCCAGCGTATCTCTGACTCAGAAGCTCTGGTGTTGTGCACAGTTAACTCCGGTTGTAGCTAGGCTGCTACCTCCGTTAGCTTAGCTCCCACCTCCACATTAGATTTGGGTTAGCTTCAGGTTAGCTTGTAGCTAGTTCGACCGGTGTCGTCAGTTGATCCCAGCCTTACAGCCACACCCTCAGCTCCACCTCTCTTCCCTTTTGTGGAATTGTCTGGGCTTGACGGAACCTGTGGCACGGTCAAAATGGCGGTGGTGGCCACCTCCCATTTAGCCTCAAAAACGTGTTATTGGAGACTATGGAAATGAATTGTCCAGTTTATATGTCGATGGGTACACCCTGGACAGATTGTGAGGCAACACAGAGACACACAATCAACACACGCACGCACGCACGCACGCACGCACGCACGCACGCACACACACACACACACACACACACACACACACACCTAAAGCTTATTTATTTATTTATTTAACATGTTTTGGAGGATAAAACCCCTTGAGATGAGACAAAAAATTAAAAAATTGATGCAAATAATATTCTGTATTATCGTATCATTAGAGCATCCCCCCCCCCCAACTATCCAAATTTGAGTAACAATCGTCTCAAGTTCTGCATATTGTTCATTTCTGATTAAACTAAACATTTTCTTCTTACCACAGGAATAGTAAACACACAACCTGACAATTAAACAGTAAAACAGACTGACAGGTCTTGTGATTAATGAGCCAAATTAAGAATAATGACCTCGGTAATTACCCTCACTAAGTAAAAAAGCATCAAGGAGGGGAAACTGGCAATAACTGATCGTATGTGAACATTTCAAACATTCAAACCTCTAATTTGGTTTGTACAGAACAAGAGGCTGCTTTTCTAGGGGAGAAAACATACGTCAAGGAAGAAAAACAATTTTGTAGCATGGAGTTAATTTTGGATAATTTGTCTTTTTGGAGATATAAAATACCCAATAAAAGCTTGAATACCAGATTGATGAGACTGAACTTAAAGAGCAAGTCACCCCCAAATAAACGTTTTTTTTTGCTGATAAACTAAATAAACGAGTGTCTAATCGTGCTGCAGACACGTGTCGTCAATAATTTGGCACCTCAGTGCATCTTAGTTAAAATTTAAATATTCTGCCTAAAACTGACAGTGTTGTGCCATTGTCAGGTAAAAACTATGCAATGTATTTGAATTTAAATCTGCCACCGCTATTGGCTAAGAGGTATGCTATGATGTAAACTGGTACATTATGATGTCACAATGCTGTTGTGAGTCTGTGTATGTGTATTTGTTAGCGGCTCCACCCTCTTGGTCTGCCAGGCAACAGCATTTGTTGCATTTTTCAAACATGAAGTGGGAGTGGAGTTAGACTCTGGTAGGAGTTGACTTGCTCTTTAAGAAACACACATTTCAGAAAAAAAATCAAACAGTTATTTCAATGATTGTTTCACTTTTTATTTTTTACTACTTTTAGAACTGTTTTATTCATTTGTTAATGTTTTAACATGTCTTAAGTAAAGAGAATTAACATAAGCTATAGTTGAATGCTATTTAGTAAGGGAGAGTCTTCCCTGTGGTCGGGGTGCAATGGGGTGGCTAATAATGTTCTAGGGGTGGCCATGGCCCTCCCCCGGCCACCCCTTGGAGGCACCGCTGTGTATGTGGTGTGGTGAATTACGATGCGTGTGCAATGGAAACCCATCAGCTGAAATGAATAAAAACAAACTGAAAGCATGTTAAATGTGAGTTCTATAATTAAAAATGCATGTGGGTGTTTATTTTATATTGCAGAGAGTTTGTAAAGGCTTAGTCTCAGGTGAGCAGTTCCAGGGGTGCCTGATCCGTTAGCCGATACATCATTCACAAATGGCCCATCCTGTCAGCCTGGTCAGTACCACAAACATAATCAAGGCAAACTGGAAAGAGACCAAATTTTGTTTCAGCCCTGATCCTGAACAGGAAGAGAACAGGAACTGAAGCATGAGTAGAGGTAAACAATCAGAGGTATGTGTGACATACGGACCAGCTTTCCCAACAACCCGTGTTACGGTACGGCTTACGTCAGCCTTTAATTTACCAGGTGCTTGTCCTGATCTCAGTTGTTTATTCCGCTCTGGCTAAAAGCACCACTTAACCTGCAATCCCATCCGTTCTAATAGCAGAGTGATGACTGTTTCAGCAGTGTGAAAACACATCCTTCCTTGTGTTGCAACAAACATCTGTTTGGGGTCAAACTGTTTTCCTGTGTTTGTTGAAAAGGATCTTACTGATGTTGGGAATTTGAACAGCTACGGCATCATCAGCTGTGTCACCTGATAACAGACTTTTACACAAATACAACGATGATCTGTTTTGTGCCTGGAGAAAATAAGCTGCTTAGTGATGACTCACTCAGGAACACGATTACAGGATAAATAAGCTCATTCTGCAGTCTAATAATCATGTTATCCCAAACATCTCTGTATTTTAGAGACTGTTGTAATTTCTTCTGACATAAAGCTCAGTGATTTCTTTATCTCTTCCAATTCCTCCTCAGCAACATTGTTTCTTTTTGGAGGCATTGTTACTGACTCACCCCAGAACCTGGGTCTGGTAGCTGGAGCAGAACCTGGGCCTGGTAGCTGGAGCAGAACCTGGGTCTGGTAGCTGGAGCAGAACCTGGGTCTGGTAGCTGGAGCAGAACCTGGGTCTGGTAGCTGGAGCAGAACCTGGGTCTGGTTGCTGGAGCAGAACCTGGGCCTGGTAGATTTAAAATGAAGCTTCAACTGTTAGTGAGATGAACTTTCTACAAACATCATCTCTGCTCTTCCTGGATCCTGGACTCGACTTGACTTGAAACAGAATTATTTACATTTCAATGAAGACAAATTTTAATTTTACTTCATGGCAAAAGTCTGGAGAGCCTTTCAACTCAGTGTGGCCAGGCCAGCAGCAAATACCAAACAACTGCTACTTTTCCATTAGGATCCAAGCTACAAGGCAGATTAAACAGCTGCATCTACGCCTTCAAATGGATGGTTGTGCTGGGAATACTCAACCAATCATCATCCACCACAATAAGAGGTCTAAGTAATCTTCTACATCCGTACCAGGGCCCTTTTAGGGGATATTTTTTACCCTGGTAATCTGGTAGCCTGGTAGTCCTGGTAGTCTTAGTTCATTCAGTAAAAAAACAGGAATAAAAATCAGGACCAGAAAAGCAACCCTGGTTCCTGTGAAAAGGTTCCTCAACACTTTAAACATAACATCATTCTCCGCGTCCTTTTAAATATGCTTGAAAGTTGTAACCTGGTCAACTGCTGCTGATTTTAAAGGTGTGGTTTACTCATTAAATACACTTGGAGTGTTTGCTAGTGAAAGTTAATGCCTTATGAGTCATTAAAAAAGCTATGATGTTCCTGTTCTGACATGAAGAAGTTTGCTGATGCAGAGGTGGGCGGAAAACAGCAGAATTACTAATTATTGTTAATTATATACACACACCTCACTTCTGATTGGCTAACAGAATGCAGTCAGCCATGGTGCAAAGTCACTATCACCAAGACACTCTCCTCCCTCTCTCTCCTTGCTGCAAGAAAATAATAATAACAATAAAGGCTCCCTGTGGGCGGGCGTGAGCCAAGATGAGTGAGGCCATGAATGCAAATTCACAGTGTGACATAGATATGTGAGAATTTTCTAATCCTAGCATTTCACCATCTCTTTTCTATCAGAAGCTAACGCAGGAGATATGTGTAGGAGACTGTTTTCATGTTCAGCTTGTATGAAAACCCAGAATGACCAATTATAATCAGAAATAATTAATAAAAAATGGTTTTAGACAACCACATCTTTAAGTCTTTCCAGAAATGTGTTATATTTCTCACAAAAGTTTGTTTTTCTTAATGGATTTAATTTTTTTTTACAGAAATGGGAATGCTTGAAATATAGTTTTTTTTTAAATCTCAATCACTACCATCAGTTAAAAATATAGAAATATTTATTTTTGATAATATACGTTATTTGATAAGGGTCTTGTTTCAGATCACACAGACACTATATAACATTAGTAATTTACTGCTTTGTGTTGTAGCAATTTATACTTAACCTAAGTTCTGAGAGGATTTAAACTTTCCTCATTCTTTATTGAAAAAGTAACCTAAAAGTAACGTTTCCTGGTAATCAGTGAAGATGTAACTAGTAATTATCACGGATTACTTTTTCAAAGTAACTTGTTCAAAACTGCTCATTATAGACGAGGAGCAGGTGAACACCTGACCAACAGGGAGGAACTGAAGGAACAATGAGATGATAGAAATCAACTGGAACTAAACTCAGAACAAACAACAATAATCAAAACAAAGTAACAATAAACAGAGGTGGATGAAAACAAAACTCTAGCCCTGGTACTTATTTACTTTCTCATGTTCCTTTTTCCTGATGTTGCCATCACTTGGTATTGCCACATCAACCACAACGGCTGTCCTCTGTTGTTGGTTCTCCATCACCATTTTATCGATCTAGATCTGGAAGTCCCAGGAGCTTGGCTCTCTCATTCTCAACCACCTTAGGGGGTGTTACCCACTTTGACCTTGGGGCTTCCAGTCTGTTCTCTCCACAGATGTTTCTGTACACGATGCCAGCCACATGGTTGTGGTGATCCATGTATGGTTTTCCTCCCAGCATCATCCAAACTGCAGTTATGTGGTGGATTGTCTCAGTGGCCTCTTTGCAGAGCCTGCACCTTGGGTCGTCGTGTGGTAGTTCTTGGCCTTCAGTCTTTAGTTATGTCTGTGATACATCCCATGTAGGAGTTTGTCCTCCCACAATGGTATTTCCAGTGCCTCCTTCTCTATTCACCATTGTCTGAGACATTCACTGAGCACATCATCTGTTGGGATTCTATTCTTGATGTACCTATGGATCTTTGATGTTTCATCCTGGACAGTGGTTCTCACATTATCTATATCTATCTATCTATCTATCTATCTATCTATCTATCTATCTATCTATCTATCTATCTATCTATCTATCTATCTATCTATCTATCTATCTATCTATCTATCTATCTATCTATCTATCTATCTATACATATGTGAGAACCACTGTCCAGGATGAAACATCAAAGATCCAAAGGTACATCAAGATGTCTCATTCAATGTGTTTTCTTTATTTTCATGACCATTTACATTAGTAGATTCTCAACTATAAATGAACACATGTGGAGTTATGTACTTAATCAAAAAGGTGACATAACGTCTTTTATATTCTATTTTATTCAAAATAGCCACCCTTTGCTCTGATTACTGCTTTGCACACTCTTGGCTTTCTCTTGATGAGCTTCAAGAGGCAGTCAAGTGAAATGGTTTTCCAAAAGTCTTGAAGGAGTTCCTAGAGGTGTTTAGCACTCGTTAGCCCCTTTGTAAATGGTCATGGTCATTAAAATAAAGAAAACACATTGAATGGCCTGTACTGTATACACTGTCTATATTGGCCTGTGTGTGTGAGCATATATATATATATATATATATATATGTGTGTGTGTGTGTGTGTGTGTGTGTGTGTGTGTGTGTGTGTGTGTAAAACAAATAAGTAAACAAAAACATATTCCTGTTAAAGACACATCTCTCTATTTGTGTGACAACTTCAAAAAGTTTAAATAAGTTCTACATGTCTAAAGTTACACCCCTGCTTCTTTAACCTCAGATTTGGGAAAAGCTCACAACAACAATTAGTTTGGAGATTGTTCTCTCTCTCAGAACGTGGACGTCTGCTGGGTTTTTAGTCGGGTGGTGGAGAATGAGCATGTTTCTTTTCTGTTTGGATCATTTTGTTTCTGATTGCATCCACTGCAGAAGTCTAAACTCATTGATCCTGAGAGAAGACATGAGGTTTTCTTTACGCGTCCGTGTGCTGGAGAGTATCAGATCTCACACTGACTGACTTCAAACCCTGACCTGCCCTATAATGCTATGAGCTTCACTCCATGTGGTTTTTATATAACACACACATTTTGCTTTGTATTTTAGTTTGTGATGTCATGGCGGTCCTCAGGAGTGGCTTCGTCTCTTTATCTGGTAGACTTTAATCTTGAAACAATTGTTTAAAAGAACAGAAACAAATCGGTCTTGAAACATCTGATTAAATGTTTTTGTTTTTACTCAGAATAAATGAAAATTATAAGGAAAGCTACCAAAAGTATCACACGGATATCCTCACTTAACTCGGTTGAAAAAGGCTTTTCCCTTCTAGCTCAGAGATGTAAATTGGGGGAGACCTAGAAGGTCCATAACATAATCTTAAGATCTTTCCTGAAAGAAAAAACACGCTGTAAGCCAATAATTTAATAATGTAAGTAAATAACGATGCTATTGTGTTATCTGAGCCCAGAGTCTGAATTCTTTAAAGTCTGGAGCAATTAAATCAATAAGTTCAGGCTTGCAGAAAGCTGTTGCATTAATCCAACCGTGATGAGATGAAAGCATGTAAAATAGTCTCTGTCTTTAAAAGTTTCATAAATCTGGGGCTGTACTGCTCAGAACATACATCACTGTCAAAACCAGACGCCACAATCCCTGCCAACAACGTTAATGTGACCCAAACAGAACCAGCTGCTGGAGGAAGATGGAGGAAGGAAACATCTGGAGCTTCCAGCTGAAGCACAAAGGATGGTTTTAGATAATGGTGAAAAGACAAAGTTCAAAACAAATCTGGAATTTGTTTAAAAACTCAACAGTTTCTGCATCTAAACCTGAACAAAGCAGCTAGTGAAACATCCTGAAACACAGAATGTAGAAACAGGAGGTCTTTTTGGTGTTGAACAGGAATTTCCCACCATCTGTCCAAGTCTCTGACAATCGTTTCTTGTTAACAACTTAATGACTTTCCCCCGTTCTGCTGACATTGTCTGAGGTGTAACTGTACATGTAATGTTTGGTACAGGATTTTTTCCTTCTCCTACTCAGTCCTCAGTAATACATATTTCATAGATCCAGACTGGACACAGTCAAGAGAATAATGAGTCATTTCTACACTGTAAAATAACTTTTTACAGATTCGGAGGGAAATATGTAATGGAACAACAGTGATGCATTGTGATAAAGTGCTGGCCAAGGCTTGGGCTGGTTTTTAGCTTTATGGAAATTATGCATTTGCTAGCATGCTTCATTTGCACAGACAGATTTGATTTATTCACTGCTGTCAATTATAGGATTTATTGCACAATGTAAGCTAATCCAGTGAATGGTTTTTCAACATAAATACTTCACTATAAAATTAACATGGTAGTCACCTCTCTAAAGCTCTGCATGCACACTCCTGTCCTGGCATGTTTGCATGTGAAAGGGAATTTTATTTATATTGCACTAATTGTAGTCATTTATTCTGCATTTGTGAGAAAATTGGAAGGTTGCAGCAGCAGACGGGGTGCAAAGGCATATTGCAGATCCGGTTTAAGGTAAAAAAATTTTATGTGATCATGTGTTTGCTGAAGTGACAAGCAGCCATTGTTAGTCCAGAATTCCAGATGTTACAGCCCAATTACCCTCCAATCACACGCATGGCCAGATGCAGTTGCTGGGTAACGTAATGGGTCAAAACTGGGCTCATAACTCTCCAATCACTTGCTCATATGTCTTTCTGCCAATATAAAAAAGCTTTTGAAGTCCACACACACGGTTAGGCACAACTCTGTGCATTTACACTCCGTGTGTGTAGTTTGTATGTATACATTGTAGGGACATTTTGAGGACAAAAGGCTGGTCCCCACAGTAGGAAAAAGTACTTTTTAATTACTAATAATTGATTTTAGAGGTATGTACTGCATAAAGAGTTGCTTTTCTGAACATAGAAGTTTGATTTTCTTCCCATTTTTATCCCAAGCCAAGAATATCACAACAAGCCCTGTAGGTTATAAATTGTAAGTCGCTTTTGATAAAAGCGTCTGCTAAATAAATAAACAAACATAAACAAGGAATGACACGTTTGGAAAAAAACAAATGAAAGACGTGGGAAAACAAGCAAGTCAATGAAGCCAAACAGCTCTGGTGCAGGTGTGCAAGTCTGGGTATTTCTGGTTTAACATCAAACTGTGTGTGTGTGTGTGTGTGTGTGTGTGTGTGTGTGTGTGTGTGTGTGTGTGTGTGTGTGTGTGTGTGTGTGTGTGTGTGTGTGTTTCAGTTTACTGCAGTAAACTCCACAGCTGAAAAGAATAGCACATTTCAAAGAGCTGCTGTCTGTGTTTTTATTAGCCTGGCACCATTAGTCTACTCTGGATTGAAGTTAGAACAAAACAAATCAGATTGGAGGATTTTCTGATGTTAAAAGACCCACTTTTAATGATGTTAAATAGTTTACAACTTTATAGCATGCATGCAGAAAAAAACATTTAAATAACATAAATACACTATCCATTACCCTCGTACACCCTGTGACCAGTTCAAACCGCTTACACTACGATGGAAGAAAATAATCTTTCTGTATCCTAACATATTTTTTATTATTATTTTGTATTATAAAATTTTTAAATTTGGAGAACAAATGGTTGGATTTCTCACTCCTTATGGTCATGTCATATAAACATTTTAATTAATCACCATGTAGCCTCTGGGTTGGGAAAGTAAAAGGATGTAGTCTACTTCTAAAAAGAGCACAACCACTCGGCAGGAGCAGCAGGTCTCCATAACTCGATCAGTTGAAGTGAAAACTAATTTTTTACAAAGATAAACTCATGTTTCTTTTCTCAAATCAAATAACACAGTTCAACATTAAGGCAAAAACTAAAGTGAGACTAAAGTGTTTCAGATAAAAGTTATAGGAAAAGCAAACTGTACTGAAAATAGTGAACTTAAGAGGACACAAACAATCCAACTTCTCATGCAATATCATAATAAAGTTTCAACATTTAAACGATTGTGTCAAATGTTTTAATGTGGTCTGTAAATAACACAAATAAGTCTTTTTTTCAATGTTCAATGTTCTGTCTTGCAGCACGTTTCCATCCATCTTCTTCCCCTTATCTGGGGTCAGGTCGCAGGTGCAGCAGCCTTAGCAGGGAGGCCCAGACTTCCCTCTCCCTTGGAACTTGGGCCAGCTCCTCCTAAGGTGTTCCCTGGCCAGCTGAGTAACATAGTCCCTCTAGCATGTCCTGGGTCTTCCTTTAGGTCTCCTCCCAGCTGAACGTGCTTGGAAAACATCACCAGGAAGCCGTCCAAGAGGCATCCTGACCAGATGCCCGAGCCCCCCAACTGGCTCCTCTTAATGTGGGGGAGCGGCGGATCTACTCCAAGCCCCTCCCGGATGACCGAGCGTCTCACCCCATTTTTAAGGGAGAGCCCAGCCACCCTGCGGAGAAAACTAACTTCAGCCGCTTGCACCAGCGATCTCGTTCTTTCGTTCACTACCCAAAGCTCGTGACCATGAGGGTTGGAACGTAGATCGAACGGTAAACAGAGTTTTGTGTTCCAGCTCTGCTCTCTCTTCACCACGACAGATCGGTACAACACCCCCGCATCGCTGCAGACGCAGCACCAATCCGCCTGTTGATCTTGTGCTCCATTTTTCCCTCACTCATGAACAAGACTCTTACTTAAACTCCTCCACTTGGGGCAGGACCTCGTCCCCGACCCGGTGAGGGCATTCTACCCTTTTCTGACTCAAGACCACGATTTCAGAGTTAGAGGAGCTGACTCATCACAGCTTCTCCTCACTTGCACAACGAAAGAAGAAACAATTGCTTCATGGATCATAAATATGTTGATGGTTTACAATCACAGTAACAAGAGTGAACACTCATTTGTCTGTTTGAGGACAGTTATTCACATCTTATGAAAGAAGCTTAAATACAGTCAACAACCACAACTAGAGAAATGTCCTATTTAGTTTTAACCGATGCTCTTTACACAATCTCATAACTGTAAATTGATTGCATGAGGAATATACTGTAATTCTTCCAGCTCAGTTTAGCAACACATACAGTAACTAAAATAATGCATATGCTGAAATGTTTTATAGGCATGATTTGTAGAGTAAATATGTAATTATACAGATTTGCACATTTAAAATGCAGCCAACATTACAAGCTTATAGTACCATCAGAAAAAAACAATCTCACAACCTTCCTGCCTCTTTAATGAGAAGCCACTCACTCACTTCAAAGGGCAAAAAGAGTAAATGGTGTAGCGATGCTTCCCAAAGGGTTTGGAGTTTAAAACAAACCAGATCTATTTTAAAAGTTACAGCAGAATAGTTTAGGACAGTGGATCTTGTTTATTTCAACTATATTAGAAGATCTAGACAAAAGGTTTTGTTTTTAACTCTGACCAAACTGAGCGTTTCTGTTTCAAGTCTGTGTGATACACACAAATCCTATTTTAATGATTCTAAATCCCTTCTTTGTTTACATTTCTTAATCTGACTGTACATTTTAATTTACCCATGATTAAAGGAAACATCACATTTAACACAACCTTCAAAACCAAGTAAGGTGTGGAGCTCTGAAAAACCATTTTAACGATTATTTCTGATTCTAACTGGTCACTGTGCAGGCTGAACATGAAAATAGTCTCCTACACTGGTCACTGTGCAGGCTGAACATGAAAATAGTCTCCTACACCAATCTCCCGAATTAGCTTCTGATAGAAAATAGATGGTGAAAATCTAGGATTAGAAAATCCTGACAGATCTACGTCACACTGTCACTTAACATTCACAGACTTACCCATCTTGACTCATGACGGGGACGGCTGTTGTTGTTTTAGCATCTAGCAAATAGCAGAGAATGTCCAGCTAGTAGAAGTTAACTGTTGGCATTAGCAACTCCACCACACAGCAGAAGCTCCTCCAGGCTTGTGTTATTTGTGGAGATAAAACATCCATGCCACAGAGCAAACCGAGTCAGTGGTAGAGTTGTGTTGCTCCGAGGCAAGATGTCCAAACATCAAGAAATAAGTTACTCCTCTGCTGCAACTCTTAGCTGCAGCAGACTTGTCAGTTCTGATCAATGACATTTCTGTTTTTTGATTTTTTGTCCCGAGTGCGGCTTGCAAGGCATTCATGCCTATTGCAAATGTATTGATTAAACATGTTTCCCACACCTTTAATAAAGCAGAAAAAACACGAGAACCTTAAACATCCAGTGATCTACTGTCAGTTTGGGAAGAATGCTGCTAGGGCTACATTTCTATTGAGCTACATTTTAGCAAAATATGCATTTTTTTGAAAAAGTTCTAATAATGTTAAGGAATGTTTTAGTCATTAAATGCAACAAATATTGAAGATCTGACAACAATAAAAAGCCCTCACAGGTGATGAAGATAAAACGGGTTATTTTGTGATGTGACGTTTCAGCAAACTTTGTTTCCTGATCATCATTCAGCAGCACAACACCTTCTCAAAGATGTTTTCTGCTCCTCCGAAGCTTCTAGACCTGAAGTAACAGTCAGACGCACCAGAACAAAGGTCCAACTCATGCAAATCAACACAACAGTGTGACAAACACCACAGGACCTTCACAAAGGTTCTGAATGTGTCGGGTCAGATATGTTCTGGCAGCCTGGCTAATTGTATCCAAGTGGTTTAGATACTGGATCCAACAGGTTAACTTGCCAAGAGGTGGGCCAGCTCATGTAACCAATAATCAAGCAACTGAAAACCCTTTCTGTTTGCATGTGTGAGGCTGGACTTTTGATCTGTAGCTCATGTTTAATGGAAGACTCGGTCCACAAGATTAAAAAGTAAAGTCACGTGCCTTAAATCTGTTGAACCATCAACCATCGTCTCATGAAAACGTTCCGAGTTAGTTGAGCTTATACAATCGGTCCGATGGGTGACTGAGGTTTCAGTTAACATCAGAGTGTGTGTGTATACACTAGTTTCTTATGAAAATATCCTGGAACGTAATTAATCTAGGCTAAAGCAGAGTAAGAGACACAGAGACTTAAATATAAACTGAAAAAGAAATGAATCCAGTGATTCAACTGTAGGAAAGCGTCCAATATGGAACTATGCATGTGAGTAGTAATTTTTCAGAAATTAGTTTACAAAACTAAAAAACTAAAAAGGTTTCACGAAGGCAAGAAAAAAATAAATCAATACAAGCCAAAGAGGGTGAAGAAAGCAGGGTCTTGTGTTGGTGAGGTCAACCTGCAGTCAGGCTCAGGTTTGAGACCATTTCCTGAAGTGATTTAAAACAAGAACATAACAGAAGGATGCAAAAGAGATGAGTGACGTTATTCTGTTCTTCTGAAAGCATCCTTGGAGAGTAACTGAATCACCATCTCTTCTTCATTAAACCTTGATTGAGTCCTTGATTCTTTTCAGCAAAGTCTCTCCAGGAAAAGCCTGAAACCTTACCAACCTTCTAACGGTGGGGAAGTGCTGGCGTGTGATGCAAGATGGTATGCTGGAGTTTTTTCTTCCTTCGAGTTGTGCTCTGCATCTTTTAAATATTCAGTTGAATCCCTTTTCTTTGTCTTTCTCCACTAAGGACTAAAGAGACAGATTCCTCATATTTATACACCTAACTAAGTTTGTCCCAAAATCTTAATTACAAAGATTAATATTTTCCACTTCTGCACTGCCCTCCGTTTCTTCTGTTACTCCTGCCTGGACCGTAGATCTCGCGGTGTCCGGTTGCGTTCACCAGAGTTCTTGCTCCGGGTCTTCCTTGCGCTCTCCTGTGCTTGACGGTATTTTTCCAGCATGCTCTTGTGTTTCCGTCTGAGCTTGTCATTGCACCACATCCTCTCACAGTACTCCTCCACGTGTGGCAAGTTTGATGGTCCAACGAGCTGCATGATGTCCTTGAACCACGTACGCGACTGCCCGATTTGACTTGGGGGACCGCCTCTGCTGTAAGCACCACAAGGCATCCAGGGCCTGTGGCTTCCCATAGACCTGTCTTTGAATGTGTCAGAGAGGCCTGCGTTGTCACGAGCTATGAGTTCATCCACAGTGTCGCCATGCAGTACCTCCAGGGTGATGCGAGCTAGTGTTTGTGTGAAGCCATGCTCTCGAGAGCGGCAGATGTACACGCCTTCATCCTGACGAAACAGCTGGCGAAACAGCAGACCTTGTTCTGTTATCATCACTCGATCGTCCAGCTTCACCTGAGAGTGGAACAGAGCAGGTTTGTCTTTATACATCAGTTTGCAGAAAGAAAACGATCGTTTATATAGCGCCTCTCAAGATAAAAATCATGAGGCGCTTCACAAGAACAACTAATTTGAAAAAAATAGATAAAAAAATAAAAACATTTTAAAAAAGCTGATTAACCCTCCCACTGTCCATTATGTAGCATGGACAATCTCAGAAGGTTCCTATCAGAGAGAGAAACGCATTCTGGGTGAAAGAGTTTGTTTTGCAGCTAACCAAGTTATTTCTTAAAGAGAACAGCATCGGACGCTATCTGTGTTCTACCTCATCGATCAGACGACCCTCTGTGTGGATCCGGAGGTCAAAGGGAGGATGTTGTCAGCCTCTGGGTACTCGGTCCGGTAGGGAAGACCCGAGTGGTACTGACTCTCTGGTCCAAGAGTTGCCGCAGGGTACACAGGTGTTGAGCTTGCATCTTAACTTAACTCTGAAGGAGTTTTGCGTCAGCTGGTGCAGGTGGCGTTTATTCGGAGCAATTCTATCGGCGTGACAGAAAAGCTTAGGTGGAGGTTTTGGGCAGCCGACCCTTATCCTCTGGGACTCTCGTGCCACGGAGAGATTTTGGTTGGTTAGGAACTGACAGCTTGAACTGAGGAGTTTGGTTTTTATTAAACCTCAGAACACGCCCTCTCAGAGATAGAAAGCTTTGGTTATGGAGCAAAGACATGTGAGAGCAGTAACCTTTAACCTGAATTCAGTGTTGCATGGTGTGTATAAGTGTACATGACCTTCTGGTTACTGATCAAACATTACTGATTATCATAAATAATAATTATTATTAATACATTTATAATGAACCATGATGATTATTTATGAACCTTGTAATAAACAGTGAAAAGAGTTTATTAAAAATGATTCTTTTAAATCTTGAAGTGTCCTTCATCTTGGGACGGAACAGCAGTCAGATTAAAGATGGTTTAGCAGACTTTACGTGATGGATAATCTGTGGACAGAAGTACAGCTTGACCAAGCTCGACCTAGCTGGGGAAGTGTGACCTTTGGGTCACAAATGAGGCCATTCATGTCGCTACAGGTGGCACGGGTGAGGAGTGAGCACCACCTCACCCCTGCCACGTGGACCTTAAGGGATAAACCATCCATCCTGCTCAATGGTCAACTTTCCCCGCGGTGTCACCCATAAAGACAGTAGGAGGGTTAAAAACTGTGTTAAAATGAGGATAAAAAATTGTGATTAAAAAAATGTAGCTCATATATATATTTATATATACCTGAAAATTCCAGACCCCTGTTACAGAAACACTGGCTCTGTTACCTCTTCACAACAACGGAGAGTTTACGGTTAACCCAGCATTCACCATTAAGGGCTTCAAAAACTGATTCAACAAATCTTTGAAACGTGCATCCCTATGGAAAGCTGTTGCTGAAGCTTTATTTATAGCATAATTGTTACAAAAACTCAACTACAAAGTCATGAATTTAGACATGTGAACATGAGTTGAAGCAGTTTGCTTTATGAAATGAATTATTTAGCTTTTGAAGCCTGTTTGAGATACCTGAGGTATTTTGTCTTGAAAATTGCTAATTTGTGGATCTGAGGTTTGGGAACCACTGTCCTACTGCACTGATTCCACATTTTTCTAAAGATTTTCCTTCAGCCTTACCCACGAAAAGACCAGTTGATGAATGACTTTACTGACAAACCAGTTGCTTCAAATTTTTCGACCCAAAAATATTTTCAGAAGCACCAAAACTGTTACACTTGACTTAAAATCAGTTTGATTTGGATCGTAATTTAGCAAAAGTATCGATAGGAGAAAAAATAGTACGGACTGCATCACTCAGTCTAACGTATGACTAAAACACACAAAGAATGGATGCTGCTGGTGTTATTTTTTAAGGCCTGAGCTGAAAACGGCGAATTTAGTGTATAATCACATTTTTAACTCAGTTCTTTCTTCCTTTCTTCATATACCCACCCAAACTCTGTCCAACTCCCCTCCACCTTTATTCCATCCATTTTCTCCCTCCTGTCTCTCATTTTCAGATCCTCTCCCTCTCCCTCTCTAGCTGTCCCTCAGTGCCAACATAAACACGGCAGTCAGGTCAGCTGGTGGCAGCTACACGTTTATTTGCAGAGAAACAGAGAGGAGTTGTAATGCCTTAATACTTACATGGCTGACTGAGACACATAACCTCGAACAGATGCAAGATTCCCGTGGGTGTGGACGCACAGCAACAGCACTTTCCAAATCCAGCTTTAAATGACTTCACGGCTTTGTGTTGAAGTCTCAGTGGACGGTGGACTTAAATGACATTTGATCTGTCGATGGCATGTGGCTGAGGTTTGTGAAGCATTCACTGTTTACTCAAGAGACAGCCCAATGGTGCACTTTGCTTTGAATTAAAGTGGCTTAATTTAAAACACATGTCAAACGTGTCAGACACATGCCACATTTACACACTAATCTCTCTTTACAGGCAGGCCACCGGTCCTCAGAGTTTTCATCAAACCTATCAACACTTTTTGTTTTTCATCAGATATTCCCTTAATTTAATCTGCATTTTATTGAATAGTTTATTAATTTTGAGCCAATAGTTGTGTCTAATCTTCTCACCTCTTCCTTGCGGTCATCGCGCTGGACGAGCCATGTGATGGTAGCTTGTGGTGAGTGAGGAACACACTCAAGGAAGGTGCTGTTTTTCTCAGTCCCATAAACCAGCTTCTCCTCCGTCACATCCAGGTCTTCTCAGTGAAGGAAACACAGATTTAAACCATATTTAGTTAGTGCAGTCGGTACAGGATATGATGCTAATTGTAAATGTCTAAGATGGAAATAGGATTTGGTTCTTAAAAAAAAAGAGTTACAACAATCATCAGCTGTGATGTCTCAGCAGACTGCTGGAGGTTTTCTCCTGCTAAAGAGGAGTCTTCCTCTCCACTGTCACTACATGCTTGCTCAAAAGATCTTGGGAACTTTTAAATTAAATCTTCTAAACCTTTTGTTAAAACTAGAATTTGAACTTTAAATTGATAATGTGTAGTTTGTACCATTAATCTCTGGAAATATCCATCAAAATGACCAGTTGTTGAAAATCATTGGCAGTTTCACAACATATCACCATAAAAATCTGTTCTAAAATACATGGGAGCGGGTCTAAATCTCTGGGCGACACCATATTGGATGCTGTGTTTCCTTCTACGGAAGCCCGTGAGGTCAAAACACATTTACTGATTAGTAAGAAATGGTTACAAAACTTTCACCATTCATAAATGTTGTTGTTTTACACATTTACCTCTTCACTTGTTGCCAGTGATGAAAGGGAATCTGATGTTCTTGTTATTTTGCTGGAGGTTACACTTTCAGGGATTTTTGACCCTAATGGCCATCCGTTGGTAAGGTCTTATTTGAACACAAAAATAATGCTTGCTTGCAGTGATTTATATGTACTGGCCCCTATCGCCAGGGAAAATGCACACTGTCTCTTTAAAGCTCAATCAGGAGAGTCTTTGCAATTTCAGCCTCAGCTGCAAAAGCAAAGATCCTCTAGAGTCTAGAGGTCTCACTTTAACACAAACCTGATTCCTTGAACTGAAGATAGATCGTCCATCTGGGGACTTTAAGTGAGACATCTTTCATCACTTCACTTCCTCACTCAGGTGAGCAAAAACAGACTCCATGTCCGCTCCTTTGCTTAAGTTCTTAATTTACAGTCTGTCCAAATGTTTGTAACCTCTTTAGAATCCACATCATCCTTTTAAATCCTTTTCACTTGTCTTTTTCGACTTAACAGCTATAAAGTTCAAGTCACGCTGCCTTCAGAGTGACTTGTTGGGTCAGTGCCTTTCCTTCATCACATTTTTCTGGCTCTGCCATCCGTCTACACTAGTCTTAAACCAGTTCACTTTTATTTTGTGCTTTCACAATAGCGGAACAAACTCATCTCGTCAAAGAACGCCTTCTCTTTCATGACCTCGAACACTGAGCTGTTTAATCTGCACAACCACTAAAACAGACTGGGACAGAGTTGCATCACTTATTGTAAAAGTGCTACCATGTCCTGCAGAAGCGTTTTAAAACGCATTACACTGCAGGCACTTTGGGTTGCTTGAGCCAGAGCATTCTTCATTTGTGTAAAATGGGTTTTATTAAGCTGGAAATAAACAGACTTTTTGACACAAACTTTGCTTTTTGGTTTTCATCCTGCCTGCAAGGCAGACACAAACATTTGATCAATAACAGATTTGCTAAAACAAGCTTTAAAAAATTTTGAAGGGAGCTGGGAGCTGGCGCCTTTAAGAGACAACTGAAATGGTAAACTTAAGACACAGTTGTGAAAGATTAAAGCAGATACAGAATACAGCAGCGGTGCCAAGAAAACCTGTAAAATTATGTTTCTGTGACAAAAAATGTTTATTTATTTAGCAGACGCTTTTATCCAAAGTGACGTACAGTTTTTTAGCTATATAGGGAATGTTGTGATCTGTGGGGGAAACCGGAGTGCCTGGAGGAAACCCACGCATGTATGGAGAGAATACGCAACTCCATGTAGAAAGGCCACAGCCGAGTTTCAAACCTGCAAACTTCTTGCTGCGAGGCAACAGTGCCAACTGCTGCGCCACCATGCACCCCAATATTTTATGGCTCTGGTGTGAATTGAACCCTGATCTGCTGTATCCAGAGACTTTACCACTAGGCCACCAGGGCTGTATCATAATAATGAATCAGCAAAAAGGTTTAATGTAGTTTATCTAGAGTTAATTTGCTTTATTCTCTTCTTTCATTTCCATTCTTTTAGTGTTTGATTTCACCCTTCTGATATATGAGGACATAACCTTTTTCAACATTTGTTACCAGCAACATTATAAAGCTCAGCTGAGCATAAACACAGGAACTGATTGCTTGGACAAATATCAGACCTCTTTTTCACTATGACCCAACTAAATCAGAGAAACTGGCTCTAAATCAGTTTTTCAGGCTTGCAAAAGACACTTAAGACGCCATACCTGGCCAGGAAACAGTCCAGGACACCCCCCCCCCCCCCCCCCCCCCCCCCAAAAAAAAAAAAAAAAAACAAATTAAAGGTAAAGTTAATGTACCGCTCAGATTCTGGTCCACACACTGCATGGCAGGGTTTCCGTTCCTGATGTCCTGCCTGCGGTAGCGCCGTTTGCTGTTAGGGAGAAATCGTGAACAGCATGATCCATCCCAGGCACAGTAAGGATCTCTGGCCAGGCAGCACTCGGCGCAGGCTTTCCCATAAGTCTCACAGCGATGCAGCTTCACCTGCGCCACACCTGCTGGTGAGCCCATGTACAGGGCTTGCTGTTTGAAAAGATGGAAGTAAACGAAGGTAGAGGGGTCATAATGAGAATGTTTCGTTTAAAGTTAATGGCCTTGGTCAGACTAACTCACCCTCTTCACTGATATTTCCATTGATGTAATTGGAGTTGGCATCTGCAAGGAAACAATAACGACTCGTAATGCAAACATGACTTGGAAGATAAAGATGTGAGAGCGTGTTTTGTTAAAATATATTTCAGAGCTTTTATTAAGCTATTAAGTGTAGCAAATAAATACACGCAAATGTGGCTAAATGATATACATCAAAATAAAAGGAAAGCAATACGATATGTTGTGATTCTAAAAGCCAGATTATATTTTCAATTTTAAAGCTGGAATTAAATTTGAAAATTCAGATCTGAAGCAACAAGACACGTCCAGTTTTATCACAATCTCATTGTTCTTTCAGAACGAAGATAGTAAAAACTGCGGCCACCCGGAGTTTGAATTACACCACACAAAAGAAAAATGTTTGCATGTAGATTCTTAAATCAGTTCACTGCTTCTGAATATGGATTCGGAATCGCAACATTTTTCAGTGCATCGATATTTTCTTGCAGCCCTAGTTCTATCCAATCATAAACACGATTCCTGTTAAAGGGGGGTTTTCCTCTCCACTGTCGCTACATGCTTGCTCAGTATGGTGATTGCGGTAACGTCACTGACACAACAAGTCAGTGACTCGATGCAATCTGCTGGGTTTCCTTACATAATGAACTGACCTCAATGCAGTGGTAAGGACAAGTGCCTTGAGATGACACTTGTTATTTGGAACTATATAAATAAACAGAAATTAATTTAATGTTTGCTTACTTTAAAGACTTGCAGCTCCTCCAGTGTGACCTCCTCTGTTTCAAGACTGTTTCCACTGTGCAAAACAATAACCTTCAAAACTTTACCAACATCTGAAAGAAAAGCAAACAAATAATATAATAAGTAAAATGTCACAAATCAAAACCACAGGAAAATCTAAGCATTTTTGCCACTCATTGTTTTTGCTTCTAAAACGCTTCAGCAATGAAACAAAATAATTGCATTTACGCTCTTGTGCAGATTGGTAACGATGCACAATCTAATTTCTGAATAAAATGTTGAACACAGAGCTAATCTGTTAGCAAGTTTGGTATTTTGGAAGCACGTTGAATCACATGTGCGTACCTGTACCAATGAACATGACATCATACTGGCCATCTTCTGCTTCAACCCTGTCAACCACAATTTGTTTGAGCTTGTAGGGAATGTTGGCTTTCACAAGCACAGGCTGGCGTAGCGCTGGATACACCGACCGCCACATCAGTGGATGGCTGCGAGCGAAGTGCAGAACTGCGTCAGGAAAGTCCTTGGTGCTGCCGAACTCCCTGCCAGGCTGGTTTGTGATTTTACTGGGACACTAAAAAGACAAGAGAAAGGATCAAAAACACTCAAAAGAAAAAATTAAGTATGTAAGAGAGAACAGTTCAAGCCTTTATGTTTTATAGTTTTTGGTTGGCAGACCAATTGCACAGTGAAAGTCAGAAAAATAGAAATTTCTGGCCATTTTCAACTCCAAATTACCACCATAGGGTGTGTGTTTCTAACAAACTTTGGTGTAATCATGGTCTTAAATCCTAAAAGTCCTCATTAGGAGTTTTATTGTGCTAAAAACTGGATTAAAGTTCAGAACCACTGTAGTGATATTAAAAGCTTGGAAACATCACCAAGTGTGCAGTTTCTTTTTTTTTTTTAACCATCCGAGTCAAAAGTCCACTCAGTTGGGCCACCTAAAGGAAAACTGGTGTGCTAGTATTTGGCAAAGATACTTTAAATTAAATTCTGTTCAATTCAATCCAAGTTTATTTATATAGCGCCAAATCATGCCGATCGTCGTCTCAAGGTACTTCACATAGTAAACAATCCAATACAGGTCAGTTCATTAAGCCAATCAGTAAATTTAAATGATAAAGAAAGCTAAACAATGAGCTAATGAAATAAGAAACTTAAAGTTTGCTTAGGATTTTGATCTAAAAGCTCTCATGTAGCAGCAAAGGTTTTTTTGCCTCAAGCACTGAATTTTGTCTTCATCCACAGAAAACAAGTTTTATACGCATTTACAACACGTAAGATAAGGGAAGGTGTCCAACCCTACAATCCATCACAGGATTTTGCTTTGTTTCACTAAAGAACACATAAGCTTTGATTCTCTAGCTGACTTTTATCTGGAAGGATGATGTAACCTGCCAAGAATTCCCTTGCAATCAAAGACTGCAGAAGTGACTGCGACAAAGATCACTGCAGACATCAGAAGAGTAACAATAATGGCTTCATCAAGCTGTTCCTGATTGGCCATTTTTTTCTGCCAATCTTCCTAATTTTGTTATGCCAGACAGAGTGGCAGTTAAATATTATGTATTCGCCAGTTTGTGTGACTAAAACCTTTTAGGTTCATGCAGTTGATTTATTCATGCACAAGAATATGTGTCAGCGTTCCAAGTGTTTGAGTACATGAAGAAAAAGTTTGGACTTTTGCTTTTTGTGAAGCATTTAATGTGGAGTTAAAAGCTCTTTTTAAACAGCCTGATTGTGTTTCACAGTGTTCTTATGACATAATTTATTTAATCACAAATGTTAAATAAAATTAATTACAAGGCTTTATGTTTTTGTCAAGAGTTTGCAAAAATACACAAATGTACCATTGCAAAGTCTGTTGCAGTTATTCAAACACAGATGAGGAAAGATCAAGTAATAAATAAAACTAAAGGAAAATATTTTAACCCTGAGGTGATACATGTGCCACATCCCATTTCAAATAGCTGCAAATTTGATTCTGGAGTCATATTTTCAAGCTTGACAACTCCAAGTGACATTCTATACATGTGGAAAATTATTTTACACTTTTTTTATTTTACGTTTTTTCTGCATTTAGATATTTATTCTTATCTATTTTCTATTTCAAAAGAGCTTGGGTCCTTAAGGGTTAAATGTGAAAAGCCTTCTTTAAAAATCCTCAATAATCCTGCCGGCAGGAGGCCCCCGGGTCGACCCAGGACACGTTGGAGAGGTTACATCTCCAATCTGGTCCGGGAACGCCTTGGGATCCTGCCGGAGGAGCTGGTGGAGGTGGCCGGGGGTGAGGATGGTCTGGAGCTCCCTAGTTGGGATGCTGCCCCCGCGACCCGGACCCGGATAAGCGGAAGAAGACGAAGACGAAGCTAAAAAAATACTTGATAAGCATCTAAGTAGAAACCGTTTAGATTTTATGAAAAAGATGCATTAAGATTAGAATATTCTCTTATTGTCTAAAAGAAAATCAGACTTTGCTTTTTTGCTGTAATTAATGTGAGAAGAAACTTATCAGCTGCAGTTACAGTGATTTAGATGCAACTTTTACAGACAGAAATCAAGAACAATCTTTACATTTAATTTTTTTAACGAATTTAAATTAATTGTTCTTTCCATTTTTGTGTCATTTTGCTAAAAACCTCTCTGAGACAAAAACCAATAAAAGTATTAGATTTTCTGCAGTTTCTTATTTCTTTCTTAGATTTATTTTAATAAAATCCCTACTTTAATATTAAAGTAGGGATTAAATACTTGAAATAGTTTTTATTACAGCTTAAAATTGACTCCTAGAAAACTCATTTCAAGATTAAACAAACTAATAACAGCTTTACCTTTTGATTCTTCTAAGACCGAATGAGAATTTGAGTTTAGTCTGGAGGGATGTTGTGATCAAGGAAATGTGACGTATTCAAACAAAAACACACTTTTTTTTAAACAAAGTGACAGGATATTAAAGTGAGGTGGATTTTAAAGAAATCTTTAAAAAAATCATTTTGATGTCATTTCCTTGTCCAAGAAAAACTCTCCTGTAGGCCAAGCGCTCCCTGTGAACTAATCATTGTAAAATGTATTTCAAACACAAGAATCTCGTTGTGGGAACAAATGTCGGTCAGAGGTTATATTTTTATAAAAACTGTCTGCTCAGAGGCTGTGGGATTCTTTCTGAAAGGTCTGGATTATCCGCAGGAAGAAAGTATTCCATCATTTTGTCTGCTAAAAGATGAGTTCTGACACAAATTTAAACAAAGTACAGAAACATTTCAATCCAACGAAAACATCACAGGGAGAACATGCACACGGTTTTCCCTCGTTCAGCGTTTCTGACCGGTAACTTTAAATGATGATGATCAAGAAAAACAAGAAAACTTTAGGAAACACACCCAGTTCATCTCAAAATCTATGTTTATATGGGTTTTCTTAAAGACACGAGTCAATATTTTGCCTCAAGAAAAAATTCCAGTCTTCTCTGGATTTTGACTTTTTCTAGAATTTTTTTCTTAGTTAAATTTTTTTAACTTTCAGCTTTGCGCCAAAAACATTCCTGCTAATCACAAAGTCAGCAGAGCAAAACCAAAGAGGTGTTCACGCTTTTACCACATTCTTCATCATCTTCTGCCTCCGTGCACTCTCATCACTCTGCTAATGAAGTGGAATGGCTCGTGCAGCATCATCATGTGTGCATGTGTTTGTGTGAGTTACAGCGCTGTGGTTGATAGAACTCGAGAGAGGCTCCACTCAGAGTCAGGAAGTAAACCAGGCAGCAGCAGCTGCACGACCACTTACAGGAGTTTACTCAGCTAATACGGAAACTTTCAGCACCTTCAGGCTTAATGCTTTCACATCCTTTCTAGCCCAAAACATTTTAAACCATCTGTTTTTGTACGTACCATGGGTCAACGTTCCACAAAGCTGCAGATTTATCAAGAGCCGTGTTTCCACTAAAGGTGTTCTGGAACATTTACGGGAGGGGGGACGGGTGACTGACGGGAAAATACCGTGGCTCTGTCCTCTCAGGCAATGTGTCTCCATGCAAAATCGTCCCTTTCAGGACTTCAGCGTCAGCATATCGCGGTTGTTCTGGAAGTGAGTGACATCACTGTTCAGCACTGAGAACATCTACAAATAATTCTTTTCACACGTTTTATTCAGTTAATGTACACTGTAATTTGAAGCAAAACTGTCAAGTTTTTAACACTTTAAGCTATTGCTTTTGAACTGGTTTTAGTGGATCAGAAACTTAGGATTGGACAGCACTCTGTAGTAGGGGTTGTATGAACTAGTCACTAGTCGACTTCACTGCTCTGTAGTGACTTTTTATGCCTGTCATCGACTAGTCGCTGTCACGTGATAATGACCGACAAGATGCAGTCGTTGGAAAAGACAGCAGGTGACGAGCCCTGCGCATCGGGAGAAAACGCGCTGTGCCAGAGCGTCGGTACTGACATCTGCCGTAAAACGGACATTTAACCAAATTGTGACCTTTACCCTCTTGCAATACAACCTTTCCCTCACCCCCATCCTAATCTTAACCAGCTTGCACATGCAAAGCTCTGATTGTTGACGCGCTCCAGACATCTGCGTCCTGAGCACGGCCACAGTAACATTATCAAATCAGGTGTCGCCACCTCAAAAACCAATTTAACACACAATCGTTCATGTTGGCTCATTTCCTTTTATGTTTTCTGTCTTTTATTTGTGACTGATGCTTTTCGCTGCTGTGGAGCGGGGCGCATCACCTGTTTTGTCCTCCGGTGACGCATCTCACTGATGCGGCTGGCGAGCATCGCGCACTCCGCTGTTTTAGCGGTCAGTAGATCTTTTAGAACTGCAGTTCAAAGGTAACTCATGAGGTGGATATATATGAACCCAGGTAGCAGTTTTTCTTTAGGATTGAGAGGAGATGCAGGAAGATAATAAACAGGCAGGACAGAAAAATAGTCAAATAAAAACAAGTTAGTTTTTGTACCTGGTGGTTGCAACAAACAGACACCACTGAAGGTAATCAGAAGTGAGGAACAGAAAATGAAATTATTATTTTAATGTTTAATGTGAGTTTGCGGCCACTGCACTGGGGGAGGGGAGAGAGGGCTGAAGCAGAAACTACCGTTGTTAAAAGAGTGTGTTTAACTGAGAAAATGTGGGCGCAATCTTAATTGTCAAAAACTCCAGAACCAACCGACCCAAGGAGGGAAACAGGGAATTACTGAGGAGTATACAGAAGCAACTGAAGATCAAGATCAGAGACACCAAGGAGGCATACAGGAAGAAGATGGAGAACAAACTACAGAGGAACAATATCAGAGATGTCTGGTCAGGGATGAAGAAGATCACAGAGTAAGCAGAGGAAGGATTGCACAGATGGCAGTCTGGACACAGCCAATGAACTGAACAAGTTCTTCAATAGGTTCAGTTCAGGAACAAACCCAGCATCCTCCTCGTCTGTCCCCAACCAATCAGAGGCCCCATCCTCCTCTGATCCAACATTTTCCTGCCACACGTCAGCTCTTTTGTCCTCTAACACAGTCATGGACTCTTCTGGTTCTATAAATCTGTCTTCAGCCAAGTCAGGAGATGATGCTGCCCCATTTACCTCCACCTCTCACCTATCTGTCTCTAGAAGTCAGGTGAAGAGGCAGCTGGAGAGACTGAACAGGAACAAGGCTGCAGGTCCAGATGGTGTCAGCCCCAGAGTACTGAAGGCCTGTGCAGAGCAGCTCTGTGGTATTCTGCAGCACCTCTTCAACCTCAGCCTGGCCCAGGAGAAGGTTCCAGTCCTGTGGAAGACATCCTGCCTTGTTCCAGTTCCAAAGAAAACTCGCCCATCAGTCAATGACGACTACAGACCGGTTGCCCTGACATCCCACATCATGAAGGTCCTGGAGAGACTCCTGTTGGTCCACCTGAATAAGCAAACTAGAACATATCAGGACCCGCTGCAGTTTGCTTATCGTCATGGAGTTGGAGTTGCAGATGCCATCATCCAGCTGCTTCAACCAATCCACTGTCATCTGGACAAAGCAGGCAGCACTGTGAGGGTCTTGTTCTTTGATTTCTCCAGTGCATTTAACACAATTCAGCCTGATGTACTTTGCCAGAAACTCCAGAAGACACAGGTGGGGGCCTCAGCTATCGCCTGGATTAAAGACTACCTGACAAACAGACCACAGTTTGTGAGGCTGAAGAACTGCACATGAAATCAGGTGATCAGTAACACTGGAGAACCACAGGGGACTGTACTCTCACCATTCCTTTTCACCCTGTACACCTCAGACTTCCAGTACAAATCAGAGACCTGTCATCTACAGAAATACTCAGATGACTCTGCGGTTGTCGGGTGTATCAGAGATGGACAGGAAGCTGAGTACAGAGAGCTGGTGGAGCGCTTTGTGGCATGGTGTGGAAACAATCATCTGATCTTGAACGTGAACAAAACAAAGGAGATGATTTTAGACGTCAGAAGAAACAGGGTGGAGTCAAACACTGTTTCCATCATGGGAGAAGAAGTGGAGGTGGTTGAGGAATACAAATACCTTGGAGTTCACCTGGACAACAGACTGGACTGGAGAAAGAACAGCGAAGCCGTTTACAAGAAGGGGCACAGCAGACTGCACTTCTTGAGGACGCTTAGGTCCTTCAATGTCTGTAGCAAGATGCTGCAGATCTTCTACAAGTCTGTTGTTGAGAGTGTAATCTCTTCAGCCATCGTCTGTTGGGGTAGCAGCATCAGAAGCAGGGACCTGAAAAGGCTCAACAGCCTAATAAAAAAGGCTGGTTCTGTTCTGGGGACGACTGTGGAACCACTGGAGGAGATAATGCAAAGAAGGATTCTCCAGAGAATCAAGAAAATTATGAACAACCCTGAGCATTCTCTTCACAAGACTGTCCGACAACGGAAGAGTGTCTTCAGTCAGAGGCTTCTTCAGTTTCGCTGCAACACTGACCGCTACTGGAGATCCTTCCTGCCAACAGCCATTGTAATATACAACAACTCTTTGATGACTTGATTATTATTATTCTGAGCTACTACAGCATCAATTTCCCTCTGGGATTAATAAAGTATTTTTGAATTTGAATTGAATTGAATTTAGTATCAGTCAGAACGTGTTAGCTCTGGCTCATGTTAGCGGTAGGGTTGTTTAAGACAGTTGTAATTGTGATTTCAACCAGTTGGGGGAAATGCAGGGAAAATCATTTACTTTAATTTATTCAGGGGAAATGGAAAGAAGAACGACATAATAACCAAACACCAAAATAATGTTATGGCACTCTGTAGGGAACCCCAAAGTGACTACAATTATAGAATAGAGTAGAGTAGAGTAGAGTAGAGTAGAGTAGAGTAGAGTAGAGTAGAGTAGAGTAGAGTAGAATAGAATAGAATAGAATAGAATAGAATAGAATAGAATAGCACGTACACTTAGAGCAGTGTTTCCCAACCCTGGTCTTCAAGGCACACTGTCCTGCATGTTTTTCGTGTTGCCCTTTTAATCACCAGTGTTTCCCTGCTGCCACACACCTAACTTCACATCTGCAGCACTTGATGTCCTCCTGAGAAGCCAATGTTAATTAGGTGTGCTGAAGCAGAGACATGGATAACATGCAGGTCAGTGTGCCCAGAGGACCAGGGTTGGGGCACACCGACTATAAGAATAATTTGAAGAAAAAATCAGAATCAGAATCAGAATCAGCTTTATTGCCAGCACTCCAGAGACCCAGAGCATAGGAACTTGACTCCGCGAACACAACCTGACCACGGTTAAACACACACACATAATAACAAATAATAACATAAGTACATGTATATGCATATAGGCAGTAAGTTATTATTGTAACTATCAACCACTAACAAAACAAAAATGAAACGTGGCTTCCATAAATATGCAGAATACTTTAAGGGACACAGACACACTATGTAAATCTGGTATTGCACAAGTATTGAACATATACTGAGTAATGCATTGCATTATGGGAGTATATGCGCCACATTTTCTGGCACTTGGAACTTAAAGGTGCAGTATGTCAGAATATAATGAGACCTTTACAGTGACAAAATCCCAAAAGAGTCAAATGTTTCAGTCATTTTGGAAGGAAGGTTATATTTAAAACATATTTCATATCCAGTTGTCTGTTGGGATTTTCAGTTTTTCTCCTTTCAAAACAAAGGAAAAAGGGACGTGACTACTGGTTACCATCAGCGAGTGTGAGGTTTCTGTGTCTCCTGCGAGCTAATGCTGCAGCTCCGACAATTGTAATTTGACGACAGCTGGCAAAAAGCATCAGAGTTGTTTAAAGTGGTTGCAGTAACCAGATTTTACAACAGGATTTAACTTATTTCTTTTTTTTTCATTTCTACATAATGCACCTTTAAAAATATGCTATTTTAATGCAGCATCAATGCTACCTATTTTCTATTTATTCCACTCCGCTTCACAAATAAATGAGCATTTCATAAATGCCTGTTGTTTGGCAATGTCTGCAAATGTCAATTTCTACTGATTTACCAGACAGCATTAATTAACCACAAGCCCTAGTGACTCTACTGGGCCATTTCTGAGTGTATAGCCCAGTTCAGGTACTCGGTTGGTCCCTGAAATGGCTCAGAAAATTCAGACACATGCCACATAAGTCTGGTAAAATTACCTAGATTTTAGATAGTGGTAACAGGCCTAAAATCACTGGTTGGAGAATTCCTATAGGAGAAAATGGCTTCAGTAGCTCTACCAGTGAGACGAAGTTCAACAAAGTTATCTGAATGAGTCAGTGTTCCATCAGTGCAAATTTTACTTTAAAAACACATGATTTCATACCTTTATTCATGTGAAAACACATTCATTTAGTGTAGTAGCTGATTACTTTTTCTTTTTCATGTGCATCTGATCTGCCATTACCAATTTTATCAGATTGCTTTTCATCTCATTGAACTATAATTAACAGAATTCTATATATGACACTAAATATGATTTAGCAAGAGCCATGAAATGACCAAATGTGACTAGACTTATCTTGTAATTTATCACTTACCACTCCTGGTCTTGGATAAGGAACCCTGCCTTCATAAGGACCCCACTGACGATCTGGACCCTCTTTATGTGCAAAAGGTCCATTGAAAGCTTCTCTGATGTCGGCCATACGGTAAACACACACAGCAAAGCCCTGGAATACATTACTGTAGAGAACAGAAGGTAAATTGACATGTTATATCATTATCTTGCAAGATAAAATGAAGGAAACAAACATGGCAGAAGTGTGCAAACTTCAACTTGCTTTCTGAAATGGCTACGTGTCACATTAAACAGGCAGTAAAGCTTGTTTTTCCTCAAAAACCAATAAAGGACAATTCAACATGTTTGAATCCTGGATTTATAGTATCAGCGGTCCTGACACCCTTGTCCACCAGTAAGACACCACACAAGATAGGATTATCTGATAAGATAATCTTTAGAACCGTTAACCATAACCCAGTTTAAGTTTGTTGGAAATGTTAGGAAAAAAAATCTGCATGATTATTCAGTCTTTAACTACAATCAAAGCACCACCGGTGTGTTAATAAGGTGAGTAAATGTGGTTTATTAGCATGCATGCTCACCTGATGGTGCTGAAAATAGCATAGATATCTGGGTTTCTTTCATCCTTGGTCTTCAGCAGGAAAACGTCCTCTGTTTCACAGGAAGATAATTCCAGTTCAACTACACATTTCTGCTGAATTTCGAACACAGCATGCTACTGATTGTTTACATTTGTGCACATGCAAATACAAACTCTAGAACTTTGTGTGTGAGAGCTGAGCTCACCCAGCTGGTTGAAGTGTGTGTCGATGCCATGAGGTCCTGGAACAGAACATACCAGTCTGGCTTTAATGAAGGTGCTCCATTTATTCACCAGAACTCTCTGGCCTCCAACATCGTTCTGCCAGAAAATACAAAGAAACAATGTCTTAAACACAACTGGGTAATTATTTCAGCGCATATAGAGCCCACATTAAAAGGGATCAATGATTGTTCACATGCAAGCAGTGTATATTATTTTAAAATTGGGGGCAGCAGTAGCTCAGGTGGTAGAGCGGGTTGCCTCATGATCATGGGTTCGATTCCAGCTCCCGCCAGGGGTACACTTCACCCAACTTGCCTGTGTTAGTGGTGGTCAGAGGGGCCGACGGCGCCAAATGGCAGCCTTGCCTCCGTCAGACCTCCCCAGGGCGGCTGTGGCTACAAGTAGCTTACCATCACTAGCAGTGTGTGAATGTGAGAGTGTGTGAAAGCGTCTTTGGGTGTCTAGAAAAGCGCTATATAAGTTCAATGCATTATTATTAAAATACCTTGAGCTGGGCTAATTAAATACTTTAACATGTTAAAACGTAGGCCTAAAGATTAAAAACCCTCAGAAATGACAACGAGTTAACATTCAGGAGCACCACAAGGGAAATATCAAGTAACGGTTAACATCTGGAGCTTCGGGTCAGATATTTAATGCATCCTAAGTGTGCAATTACCTCTGGTCTCACATTGAAACTACACACAGACGTGTGGAGAAACCTTCAATTTAAAAGTGAAAATTGTGCAGAAATCAAACAAAAAGAGAGGGAGCAAAAGAAAGAGAGAAAGAATAGGAAAAAGAAAATTTCAATGAGATATTTCTCTGATTTTTTACATTTTTGGCACAACCCTTGTGTGTGTCAGTGAACGTGAGTTTGCCTTTGTGTGTATTCCACTTTGGATTCCCTTTAGTGTGTTCCTTACAGTGCACATATGGTTTTATAGGACAAATGGAAGCGTGAAAGAATGTTACAGAGCGTACAAAGCTGTTGGAGACTGCGGTTGGGAAATCTGACAGCTGCATGCAGTTTGGGAGGAGAATGCATTTATCTCTTTCAGAATATGATACCTCTACACTCTTTTGGGGAAATGTGAATACGCTACACTAAAAGAGGGTTGTCTTTTCAAAAATCCGGGCTGCAAGTGTCACAATCACAATGTAAGGAATACCGATTTAACACATCGTCTCGTTCTACAAAGTTACCCATGAAATCTTTAGCATGCGAGTGCCTGAATTGAATCATTAGCTCATTGTGGTTTTGTGAAGCTTTTCTTAAGCGAATCCCTGGTCAGTTTAACAACTGTTGCAGAAGAAACTTCATCATCTGCAAGACTAATCCTCAGAACCCGATTCCAGCAGCCTGAAAATCTACCGTTTACTGAACATAAAACCATTAAGAATTCTCTCACCGCACACACTCGGCCAACTCGTGTGTGTATTGCCTCCTCCCTGTCACCTGCCTCTGACGCCTTCTCAGTGAAGAAGAAATAAACTTTGTCATCGTCTCTGTCATCGTTGTCCGGGATGAGGTGGGCAGCAACGAACTTGGGGTCTGGGAGCAAGGAATTAAATTTATTATGAACTAATCTGCTAATCCCCGGTGGATTAGTGAGCCTTTATTAGAACTATTTCAATGAATAAAGATGTAAAAATGTTAAGACTTTATTATTTGCACCATACCAGATTTGCATAAACACGATTCTTACTGTGAAGTAGTTTCTGATCCGTTTCTGTCCTCATGGTGGTGCGACCTCCCATGCTCCTGAAGATCACAGCGTCTCTTCCAAGGAAATCTGCTGTCAGTCCTGTGTACAATTCTTCACCTGCAGACAGACAGACAGGCAGACATAAACAAGGGACGTGGAGAAAGATCATATTTTTCAAGTCTTTCAGTCAGAAAAAAATACTATGGTCTTAAATTAGCTAAACAAAAAAAAAAGATCCTTTAATTTAAAAGACAAAATGGATTTAACCATAAATAAGAAACAAATCATAGTAATTATGAGGGAACAGTTTCAAAAATTAGAACGGTTTGAGGGGAACAAGTGAAACCTTATTAAATAATAGGTGATAATTCAGACAAATATACAACAGGGAAATAAATGCACTTCATCCTCAACTGAAAATGGAAAGAGGTCCATACATTGTTCATGCGACACACTGGGTGTTAATTTGCAGAATACTGTTAGAGTTTTCAGACATCAAGCAAGACAGCTGCCTCAACTGATCTGAGGAAGTTCAGGAAAAACAAGACAACGCAACTAAAATGTTCTTTAAAAGGGGACATATTCGAAATGCCCCTTTTTGTATACTTTTGAGCTGCTATGTAGGTCTCTACTGCCTCTATAAACACTCCAAATGTAAAAAAAATAAAAGTTTTCTGCGAGTGTTGGCCTTTAAATTATTATAGAACCACCAACGCAAGAGAGAGCAGCAGCTCTACTCTAAGCCCCTCCTTTGTATCAGAGTTTCTCAGCCTAAAGAAGCCTAAACAGGGGAGGGGTGGGCATGGCTTGCTCCAGTTTGTTTTCATAAAGTGACAGAGCCCTAAAACGGCTCATTCTGGAGGGCACTGAAATTGTCAAGAAAGAAAGAAAACTGCTGAAATGTGAGAGGGATTTTATGCAAAAAAAACCTTCATCAACGTTTTTGGTGTCAACCATAAAACAATTATAACTTAAAAAAAACATTTTTCTCCTTTTATCTAAACTTTGTTGAATTATTTCCAGCTGTTGTTGAAAATTTATCTGGCCACACAACGCTCTCCTGAAACATCATGAGTCTTTCAAAAAAGTCTATTTCACTTGGCTGCAATAACAGTATCAGACACACACACACACACACACACACACACACACACACACACACACACACACACACACACACACACACACACACACACTCACACACTCACACACACACACACACACACACACACACACACACACACACACACACACACACACACACACACACACACACACACACACACACACACAGCTGTGGAAGATGTCTCCCAAGACGAAAAACAAGAACAAAAAGGCAGCATAATCAGTGTTGACAGGTCACGGGGATTGCAGCTTTGTTTTCTTTTTTTTAGATTTTTTGCTTATTATAATTTATTATTTTGGCAAAATAAAGTAAAATGTAAGAAGAAAATTTTCACATCTGATATTTAACATATTAACTGTTTCCTTCTTGGACCGTCTGTCCCTAATATATTTGATTTTCCAGAGCTGCAACGTGCTACCAAAAACACGTTTGTTTTGTCCAAACGTTGTTTATTTGTTCAAATAGTCAAAGAAAAAACAGCAAATATAAAAGAGATAAAACCATTTTTATTTTCTCTAAACTGATCTCAGAAACAGATAATTAAGAAATTCCTGCAACAAGAAATCTGATCCATCTCATTTTTTTGACACAACTCTGCCATTCAAAGAAAGCCAAAATAAATCTGCAAACTCCATCTTTTTGACTAAAGTGGCAGTGTACACGCCTTAAACACATCACTATTTCTTGCCAACATTTACATTTCACATCATCAGCATCTTCATGAACGTCTCTATATCCGTCAGTCGTTCTTCAGAAACCGGTTCTGTTTCCATGTGGTCACTGAACATCACAGCTCAGGTCCAAACTACTAAATGCTTGGCTCTAAATTTTAAGTTCTCCTGCCAAACACAAAGCACTGTGGGACAATTTCTGAAGCTGGAATCACCCAGCTGTGCAAAGAGGATGAGAAACCCACCCACCCACCCACCCACACACACACACACACACACACACACACACACACACACACACACACACACACACACACACACACACACACACACACACACACACATATATATGCCCATATACACAGACACACACCAAACATGCTTCCAGCCTAACAAAGGTCCCAGGATCGTCTGTCACTGGCATTAATCTGAGTTATTTCACAAGCTGCAATAAATACCTAATGACACTTTGAAAGAAACACCCAGAACTGTTTATTCTGGTGAGCACCGGTCCAAAGAGTGTGTCACAGCCAGACACAGATTTCCAAACTGCTGTTCGTGGTTATCTATCTAAAATACAGTAAAGATCTGAGGGGCCCAAAAATAAATCTGTGTGACATTTTAATCAGGACACAAAATATGAAACTTGCAAAATTAACTGGAAAAAAAAATGGAACAAGGATTTCTTGATGGGGCATCTGGGCTCAAGTACTCATATTTTCTATTTTTTATAAATGTGTGTGTGTTTTTTTTCACACTAATTACTTCCATACATTTGCTGTGGTCTCTAATAGAAATGAATGCCTTGTGAGTCGTTGTCTGTGGAAAAAGGTTCTGGTGCTCCTGTTTCAGGAAGTAGTAAATAAGTAAATATAAGTTACAAAAAAATTAAAATAAAAAAAAAAACAGGGACCCAATAATAAACTGACCAAGAGAAAATCAGGTTATAGCATACATGCTAATTTCTACCTGCAGTCCCTGGGCAGCTAAATTATGACGTGACAAATGTGTGGGGCATTGAAAACCCATTTTTAATGATTATTCTGACTATAACCGGTCACTCTGAGTTGCAGGCTGAACATAAAAATAGTCTCCTACACCTATCTCCTGCATTTGCTTCTGACAGAAAATTGATGGTGAAACTCTAGATTGTTTTAAAGCCTGACAGATCTATGTCACACTGCCACCTAACATTCATGGACTCACCCATCTTGACTCACAACAGGAAAGACTGTTGGTTTCCAGGAAACCACAGAAAATGTCCTGACTAGTACAAGCTAAATGTTAGCATTAGGAACTTCACCACACAGCAGAACTCCTTCATGCTCTTGCTATTTGTGGAGATAAACATCAGTGTCACATTGCTGCAACCCAATCAGAGGCAAGATGTCCAAATATGAGAAAAAAAAGACTCCAAAACCTGCCGTCTGAAGCTCAGCTGTGATGTGGGTAACTGCTAGTTCCTGGAAACGGTGCACCGGTATATTCCCCTTCCCCCAATTATAAATTAAGGCATTCATTCCTACTACAGACCACTACAAATGCATTGAATGAACGAGTGAACCACACCATTAACACAAACTTATTTTGCTTTTTCTAATCCAAGCATTTTCTCCCCGCGCTAATGCAGGAAATAGCGGTCAAAGACTATTTTCACATTCATGCTTTCAGGTACCACGTGACTGTTTATGACTAATCTACTGTACATTTGGTTACATCAGTATCATTTGTATTTTACAGCTTACCTGTTGAAAACTAAACTGTTTTTGTTCAGTTCATAAACATCTTTTATAACTTGTGAGGAAACATATTGTAGACAAAACTGGAACATACCACTGAAGGTGCTGGCAAAGGGGAAGCTGGGGTCATGTGGAACCTTCCCTCGTCCGCTGTCCACATTCGTTGGGTCCATGGTGAACACGTGCTGAGTAAACATAAAATACACTGATATTACTTCCAGTGGGAGAGACCTATTAACTTGATACTTTTCCAGAAATCATAGAAATATCAGCTCACTTCATGAGATTCAGATTTCAGAGTGGAAATTAAAAGCAGGATCGTATTTTCTTCATCAGTTCTTCCAAGTGGAAAATCTTTTCCCTGCAGCTCCACAAACAGGTCAGCCCACTGCTGCACCTGACACTGGTTAGCTGAGGGTCAACAGGTATGACTGCACAGCAGATCAGTCCAGACCGGTTACTGCAACTAACCCAAAGGCCAATATTCTCCCTCCATTGTTCACACGAATATGACAAACTTTGACTTTTTTATTAGTTTCACATTTATTCCAGATTTACGTGTCCTTTCACCGAACTCATTGCCTGTCTGAGAATAAAAGTGCTGTCTGAGATAAGAGGAAATTCAAGATTATTGTAGCTGCCAGAGTTTAGACAACTTCCCCACTCGGTTCCCAGTGCAGATCAGTCCTCAAGAGGAGCCAGACGAGTAATAAAAAGAGGCAGAAAGTGTAACACTACGTCACATAAAACTGCACTTATGTTTTAGACTTTATCATCAGTGGGAGAAAACTGATAGTTGCACATTTCATTGGGTCTCCTGAGCACAAACCTCCAAAAACATTTATTCTGTAGCCAAATTTCCCTAAATGTGTCACCAACATGTGGACTGAAGATGAAAAATCCATTTAAAAGAATTTTAAATCTCAGAAGCCATTGTGCATTGAATACAACAAGTTTTTATTCTGCAGATTTTGCAGTACTGAGCATATGCATCTGTTCTTTACTTAAGTCATTTTCTTGAGGAGTACTTCTAACTTTTACTTCACTACATTTTAAAGCAGTTATCTGTACTTTCTACTCCACTGCATTCTCTCAAAAGTAAATACTTTAATTTGTGTTTTGTTCGACCCACACCGCACCCCTGCTCTGATGAAGAATGAGTTCAATGTCCACACTGGTGAAGACGTGATTTCTTTCTAATCGCTGCTGCTTTAAATAACACCTAGATCCCAAACATTGATCTATGTCTGCTCAATCTTCCTGAAGAAGAGTTTCATCTGCAAAAACGTTTGGATTTTATCTTCACGAACTCTCACAAAACAAAGCCAGATTGTGACAGTGATTTCAAAGACTTTTTGTTGAACCTCCGTTGGGACCGGAGTGGGATTTCAGAATGTTAAAACTACCGGTAACACTTTACAATAAGGTACGCAAAATTGTGCTTCGTTACTAGGGAACGACTTAGGGGGTAATGAGTAATGAAGCAGGGAAGAATAGGTAGTTAACCCGTATGTTTCAGGATCAATTTTAAGGTTCTTCTAATGGTTTTTAAGTGTCTTAACGGTCTTGGGCCTTCTTATCTATCAGAACTGCTTTTACAATATGAACCCTCGCGGACTCTGCGCTCCTCTGGCAGGCGTCTCCTGGTCATCCCTAAAGTCAGGACACAAACTCACGGCGAGGCGTCCTTCCAGTGTTATGGCCCTCGCCTCTGGAACGAGCTGCCAGAGGACCTCAGGGCCTCAGAGAACGTTCATGTTTTTAAGTCAAGACTCAAGACCCATCTTTTTAGGTTAGCTTTTATCTAAATATTTACTACAGTTTTATTTCTCGTTTTACATGATTATATTTTATTACTTGCTTTGCATGTTCTATATGATTATATTTTAGCACAGTTTTATTATTTAAATTATTATTTTACTGTCTATGATTTTATTTATTACTTATTTTCTAATTGTTGTCATTTATATTAGCTCTTTTATTACATTTTTACTCATTTTAATCCAGTGTTTCCTCTGTGGGGGCCCTCTGCCCCGGGAGCGGTGGTCGACTGTAGCTTCCTGGGCGCTCTATAGGTGGGGGTCTATGCTCCCTCTCCACTGAGCACCCTGACTTAGTGTGGAAGACCTGATGCTGCCGGGACAGACGGCTCCTCTGATGGCGTTTCCTTGCGTTACCATACTTGGCTCATCTGGACTCAGCCTAATATAATTTTTACTCGTGTGTGTGTGTGTGAGTCTGTGTGTGTGTGCGTGTGATTGCATATGTTTGTTAATGTTTTTAACCTGTTATGGGAATCTGGGGTCATTTTGTAAAGCACTTTGAATAAAACTTTGTTTGAAAAGCGCTTTAGAAATAAAATTTGATTGATTGATTGATTGAGTAGTTACTGGTGAAAATGCTCAGCGGTCTTTTTTCAGGGTCTAATAGGTAGTTAACCAATACTTATTGGTGAACACCCAGCAGTCTTATTCAGAGACTAATAGGTAGTTATTAATTTGTGCTTTGTTACTAGGGAACGACTTACAGGGTACTGAGTAATGAAGCAGGGAAGAATAGGTAGTTTTAGAGTGTTTTTACATGTTGATTTTAAAGTTTATAAATGTAAAAGTTAATTTTTGTGTAGTTTTCTGATTATTTTAAAAAGTACCCTAAAGATTGAACATTTTGTTAGTGATTGATTTGAGCCAGGTAACACTGTAACCTGCAGGATTTTGCTCACTCATCTCTGGAATATTACCACACACAAGATGAAAGAAAATGATGTGTGAATAAGCTCAATGTATTTACGGCAAATGGCCACGTAACAACATATAAGTAATGGTTAAGTATTGAGTAAGTACATATTCGTTCCACAGTAGGTACTTGGGAGGAGGCTTCACTTTAAGGTAGACAAAAGCAGTAGATAATGGTTAAGTACCTAGTAGGTACAGATTAGTTCCTGAGTAGGTACTTGGGAGGAGGCTTCACTTTCCATCATCTCAAGACGGACGGATGCTGACGGTGGACGACAAAGTGACAGACGAGTGAAATCAAGATGAGACAGTGATGTTAAATCACTGTAATGTTGCAAATTTTCTGCATCCTTCATGAAGTTTGCAAAAGAGAGTCCAAAGGCACTCCATTCATTTGGGATTCCTTATTGCGTTCATAGATAACTACCTATTAGACCCTGAAAAAAGACTGATGAGCATTTTCACCAGTAACTACTGGTTAACTACCTATTCTTCCCTGCTACATTACTCATTACCCCCTAAGTCGTTCCCTAGTAATGAAGCACAATTTTGCGTACTTTATTGTAAAGTGTTACCAAACTGCCTGATGGAGAGGCTAGGGCAGTGAGTGAATGTCATAAAGCTAAACGGGCATAAAGTTTGGTGGGCGAGAGTCAGGGATGGACTTGGGCAATCATTAATGTCAGGTGTGTTTTATCAGTTCGAGTGATGTTTATGTGTGTGTGTGCGTGGGTTAGCGATGTGAACTTATGACAGAATTCTCTGGGAGGAGGGGTACTCTGTAATTACTTGTCGGACATGACTTCATGAACCTGCAGTCTCTGGGTCTGCAGCTGTGTACTATTTATTACCAGGTTGAAGTACCTGCTCACAAAAATAACATATAATTCATGCTAATATGAACTGTCAATAAAGCCAATGGTCATTTTATATATCATATATTGTGCCCATTTGTGCGATGAAAGATATGGGTCCTTTAAAATCTGGACCAATTTGTGTGGCAAAGAGCTCAGTAAATCATTTTGTGTTAAAAGGTAAATAAAACTACGCAACAGAGACGAAACCTTCCCAAAGTACCAACATAGTTTTTTTTTCTATGTCAAAAGGTTTCCATCAAAGCAAAAAAGTAAATCTGGACTCACATTTTTGGAGACCAAAGAGTTTGTTTTCCTCACTTAGTCACCAATCTGTCAAATTCACCTGATGAACGCTTTCCACATTCTTATGTTGCGTGATTCGATTGGTCACAAGAAGGGCTACTTTGGGATCAAAGGCTCTTTGTTTGAGTCTTCCACTTCAGTGCCACTGGAGTACCAGGCTGTCTGGAGCAGAAGTGTCTGAGTGGGATCTAACAGTCTACTTTCAGGATAAAAGCAGAAACGCGGAGGTGACGGGACCAACAGTGAAACCCTTAGTTTGATTAAAGTGTGTATCACAAATCAAAGTGGCCTGCCAGTGAACTCTCTGCTCCTCAGTCCGGTTCCTTTAGCAGACAATAGAGTATTGTCACAATGTGGGCGAGTCTCTACTGAGCACAGATCACAGGGGAGGTGATGACATTGAAGTCAGCTGAGTAAAAATACTGTTAGAAACATGGGACAATACACACCCACACACACTGGGTTGTATACGTGCAGATGCACACACACACACACACACACACAAGCAGAGACTGTTCACTTGTTTCTTCAGCGTTTCTGAAGGTTCAACGACATTTTCAGGTTTGATCCACCAGAACACACACAGCTTCAACACAAGTTCACGCTTCATTACATTTAACAGTATGAAGGAGGTTGAAGTTCTCCACCTTTGGTTTGGATGTCTCCACCACCAAGACCTCAGTTTAAATAAATCTGAAGACTCTCGTTTCTTTATGCAGATTTTTGTTTTTGTGTGTTTTCCTGCTGTGTTCCAGAGAAATTAGACGAGGAGAGTCACCACGGCCAAACTCTGTCAAAGCAAATACACACAAGCTCCGTAACACGAAGGGGAAACATCCAGACCACGTCGTACTCAGCTCTGCCAAACACTACACTCCAGACCCCCACTACAAACCGCTGGGACCCGTCCTGACAGACACTTTTCTGTCACTCTGCTTTCAAAAGAACTTCCCAGACCTAATTCATTAAGTCCAGACTTGGTAATTATTTAAACTTTGACCTTACAAAAGACGAAAATAAAAGATGTTGTCTGAAGCTGTCAGGAGAGATTCCCTTTAGAAGTTTTCTTTTTTTAAAGCGAATGGTTTAACATAACAAGAAATTTAATTTTCAATTTTAGCTTAAATTGAAAGAGTGTAGAAGATTATTATGAACATGGAAACAAAGTGTTAACATTATCTCACTTCACTAAAGCGCACCAGGAATACTCTAAATCCGACTGGAAGATAATTAAGTCTTTAAAGGGACAGTCTTTTGCAGTGACCTCTAGTAGAAATAATGCCTTGCCAGTAGCACTCAAGGGGGAAAAAGCTCAGATGCATTTGTTTCAGGAACTAGCAGAATGCTACATCAGAGGCAGGTTTGCTGTTTGGTGTGTTTCCTGATATTTGGACATCTCACCTCGGACTGGATAACAGCGACGCAACTACCACTGCCCCTGTTTGCTTTGCAATGTTGTTGTTTTATCGCCACAAATAACACAAACCTGGAAGAGTTCTACTGTGTGGTGGAGTTAGCTTCTACCAGCTGAGACATTATCTGGACACTAAACCAACAGCAGCCTTCCCTGTCGTGAGTAAAGGTGGGTGAGTCCATGAAAGTTAGGTGTCAGTGTGACGTAGATCTGTCAGGATTTTCTAATCCTTGAGTTTTTAGCAGAAGCTAATGCAGCGGATATGTGTAGGAGACTGTTTTCATGTTCAGTCTGAATGAAAAACTCAGTGACCATTATAATTGGAAATAAGATTAATTTAATCATTAAAAACTTGGAGTAAATTTAAAAGTAAAAACCTTTGAGATGGACTGTTTTAAATACGGTGCATTGAACATTTGGAAGAACTAAAGTTTAAGTTTAAACCCCAAAAAGGACCGACTGAGGAGCATTATTATTTATAAAAAAGTCCCAATTTCCTACAGAAGACTTCCTTTATCTTCACATTGTACAACTGTAACCAAACCAAAACAAACAAATACGTGAGTAAGTTATTGACATCTCTGATGTCTTAACTTAGTTTGACTTTTCTTTGTAATCGTCAAACGCATCGGGATTTTCCAACATAAATAACCAGAAGAAAAATGATTTTTCTTCTGATAAAATGAAACATTTGAACAAAATTTTTTTATAATTTATTGAATCCCTTCAGCTATTGTTTGGTTTTTGCTTCCATTGTGTTTATCTGTGTGGTTTGACACAAATTTCATTTCTTTTTGTTTATGTTTGAATGTGCACGTCCCTCATCATGTTTGTGTGTTTCTGAACAGCATCTCTGTGTATTTATATGTTCAGTTTGGTGACATTTGTTTCGTTTGACTGAATGTTTGTGTACACGCGTGGGGTCCGGTCCTCTTTATGTCGCCACTGCACCCCAGAGGTTTATTTTCTCACAGATGACGCCGCTCGGGCCGCTGTGGGGACTCCAGCGTGTGTCAGCCTGGAGGTATGGTGTTGTGGTTTAAAGAAACTCGGGGAGGCAACACAGAGATGCCAAAAACAAACAGAAAAAAATAACACTGTGAGGTTTATGTGCAGAGTATAGGGATAAGATGAACACCATATGATGATGATGATGATTCAAAATACTTATGTTTTAAATAAAGACACATTTCTTCAATCAGAGCTCAGCATAACGCAGGTTTCTGACTGACCACATGAAACTATCTCATTACACAACTGCCCAGAAATGTTGTTTTTGTGGCTCAGAAATGTTGTCTGTTCTTATTGACCTCCCAGAAATATGAGAAGTTCCCCCTTCCATCATGAGGATGTGATTAGTCAACTAAAATATTTGTAAATAACATTTTGGTTTCATACTTTTGCTTTTATCCCACAAAACATTATGGAGATTAGCTAACACGATGAACCAAACCATCACGTTTGTTCCCAACTATTTTTGACAAAACATTGTTTACAGAAAAGCTCGTTTCTTTACTTCACCTCAGTTATTGAAACCTAAAACCAGATATCAAAAGCTTTTGACTAAAATCTATGTGACACTAATTTAACGTCATATCTGAGAGAGCGAAGCTAGGTGAAATGAAGTAGATACATGTGTGTGTATATCTGACCCTAGCGGAGATGAAACACCTTTCAGGTTAAAGGTCATCCCACCCAGAGTCCAGTCTGAAGGCGTCAGAGCCTCGGTTCCTGGGAGAGGTCACACCAACAGCCGGTTATATGTTGTCCACCAGTTAACGATTGGTTAAATAAATGGACGAGCCCCCTTTGGTGCTGTTCTGTCAAACAGACTGACTACCTGAGAGAACATGATCTAAATGACTTTAACACACACACACACACACACACACACACACACACACACACACACACACACACACACACACACACACACACACACGCGCACACACACACACACACACACACACACACACACACACACACACACACGATGGAGAGCAGCTGGTATCTTCATGTCAGTGAGGTCAGCAGATGCTTACTGAGCTTTGACAGATGCTGACTCAACATAATAGTTATTTCAAACTGACCTTGGATCCTACAGATAGACATAATTTTGTTTAAATCATAAATGTGAAAATTATTGTCAAAACATTTTATTCAGTACATTAATTACTGAAGTCAAATACTATAAAACTGCAGTTTCACCTCACTATTTAATTTCCGCATGTCAAGTAAGCCAATATTTTGGGTATCTGAACATGAAAATGTATGCAAATAAAAGTAAGAGACATATTGGGACTTTCCTTAAGTTATATTAGTTCTATGGTTGATGCAAAGCATGTTTGTAAAGTTCCTTGCACAAACTCCCTCTCACATAGAGCAATCTTAGTTTTATTCTTGACATTTTCAGTACCTTCCAAAATGAGCTGTTTCAGGGCTCTGTCACTTTAAGAAAGCAAGCTGGGGCTGACCGCACCCACCGATCCCCCGCTCAGGCTGCTCTAAGCTGAGAAGCTCCAGTATCCTGAAGAGGCTTGCAGTTAGAGCCACTGCTCCTTTAGGAGTTGCTCTCCTCTAGGTGAGAGGTGGTTCTACGCTAATTTCCCCACTTGTGACATCACAAACTGGGACTTGATGAAACGGCTTGTTTTAGGCACTAAATGCATAAACCCAACCGCTGACAGAAAATAAATGGACACATTTTTATCATGTTTGGGGTGTTTATAGAGGCAGACCCACATGGCAGCAGAAAAGAATGCAAAATGTGAGGTTTTGCATAATATGTCCCTTTTAATGATTAGAATGCCATACATGCTGACGTGATCCGGCCTAAAAACTTTTATACTTACTCTGCTCTTTAATTCAGGTAGACTGGATGTTCTACTGGCTTGTTTACATACCTGCATGGTTTGCACTGTTTTTAATCCCGTTCCAAAAAGCTACAGTAAAGCCACACAATGACAGATTAAAAATAAGACTGAAACCGACACCACCAGGGAGAACATGCATGGTCCCAGCCACCTCAAAAATAAAAGGAAAAAAGGAGAAATCTGGGAATGTTTACTTTCCTTTACTTGTGCGCACAAATCTGTACACACACTCCTAACTTGTTGGCATTCTCATTTCCTTCACAAAACTCAGCCAATATCCGTTTGACCCTTTCAGAACAGAGTTTGAACTCCCCCACAGGGCCAGGCTGGACAGCAGACCAGGCAGTGGCCTGTAAAGCTCCCTTGAAACTAAAACATACACGTTTTCTTAATGGCCTCATTCATGAGTCCTTTCATTTCAAATGGTTCCAAGTGTGAAACACTGCAGAGGGTCCCACTGAGCTGAGCGACTGAGGAGAGCCAGGCTGCGTGGATGAAAAGATGTATAAAGAGCCCTACGCTGTGGCCGAGTAGCCCCAAAGAAAGAAAAAAATCCTGTTATTTGTACTCAGACCCCAGCCTGTCAGAGTTGGCACCAACCATATTTGTTCCATTAGCCTACTTTTCCTCCTCTCGGGAGAAGAAAACATGTACATTTGAATATCCTCAACATTAAACTTTGGCACTGCACGGTGTTAGATTAAATGCTTCAAGAGAAACGAAATAAAACTGAATGCTGTCATTCCCTAGTGGGAAAACTTGGGGCCATTCATACATCTACGTCCACCGAGTCATTTTAAAAAAGACGCAATTTTGAGAACATGTAGTTCTTTAGTTTTTCAACACATCTGTAGTGGTCTCTAGTATAAAATAATGCCTTGTGAGTTGATCTCTGTGGGAAAAAAGCACTGGGGCACTTGTTTCAGTGAGCCAGAGCAGAGGAGAGCAGAACACGGCAGGATTTGGAGTCTTATTTCCTGATATTGCGACATTTCTCCTTTGATTGGATGACAGCAACACAACTCTACCACTGACCCTTTTTGCTCTGAAACGTTGATGTTTTATCTCCACAAATAAAAAATGTCTGAAGGAGCTTCTGCTGTGTGGTGAAGTTGCTAATGCTAACTGTTAGCTTCTACTGGCTGAGATGTGCTATGCTGTTTCCCAGACGCTAAAACAAAAATAGCATTCCTCATCACGAGCCAAGATGGGTGAGAGAGCCAACTTCTTTTTCCATCAAACACATTTATATATATATATATATATATATATATATATATATATATATATATATATATATATATATATATATATATATACATATATATTGACAATGTGATGATTTAAACATGTTATCAGAACTCTTATAAAGTTAATAGCTTGTTTTTATTTACAAAATATCATAGAGGTCATTCTCAGAAAAGTCATTTTTAAGCAGGAACTTCCAACAGCTTCTAAAGAGCTGCAAAATTACCTTCATTTAACACCTTGTCAGCATCAGGACACTTTAATTGGCATTTTAGAGGAAATAAGAAGTCTTTATTTTAATGGTGTATGTACGTTTTTTAAATATCTACAGCAGTAGCTTTTTTAGTCAGTGCATTATTAATGTATGCTTTAACAAATATTAACTGTGACAAAAAATATGTAAAACTTTTTCACTTTTTTTCCATTTTGCATTTTTTGGATGACAAATATGCTGAGACATGGGCTATCAGATCCAGAAGTTGGCAAATCACAAAAACACGATTCACGCTCATTTTTGTCTCACCTCCCCTCTGTGACCCACATAGATGAAGGCGCACATGGGCTGGAAGGCACCGGTACCACAGGCCAGCAGGTGGGTGCGGTTGTAAGGCTGCAGAAGACGAATAAAGTTGGCGCACTCTGTCTGCAAAACAAAGACACACAGACATAAAAAGCTCAGCTTTAACTGATCTTTCATGTGCTTTTAATTAAGTGTCGAAATGCAAAATACTTTAGGTACTGACAGATAAAATGGTAAATGTTTACAATATGATAGGAAACGTCTGCCCATGACGAAAGAGGGCTTTGTTGTACACACAAACACATTCACATTTAATGGGAGGGTCCTAGAATAAATCAAATTATAAGAGTCATCCAACTGCAGATAAGCTGATTTTCATGGTATTGAAGGGAGCCAAAACTCTTCATAACATTGCTTATTGATTGCACATGTTGTGATGAACCCCAAAGGGTTTCATTAGAGATGAGATAGCGTGACCCTAACAGTTCTTTAACTTTTACATTTTTTGGATGTCAGCCATCAGTGGCATGCTGATGTAAAAAGAATAAGCTTCACCACATCCTGATTAAAGAAACCTCAGAGGCATCTGAAAATGTCCGAGTGCCAGCACAAATACTTGGTGAATGGTTCCATGCTCCAATACTTTATTTAAAAAAAAACAGTCAGTGTATATTTTAAAACAAGCTGATAGGAATGAAACAAGACAGAGACAAGTAGAAAAAGAAAGACATCAGGAATAGGTTACTTTAAAGACTAGGTTCACTAGTGTTTCAAACACATCTGCAGTGGTCTCTAGTATAAATGACATGGGAGTCAATCTCTGTGGGGGGAAAAGCTCTGGCACTCCTCTTTCAGGAGATTGGAGCAGAAAACAGCAGAATTTGGAGTCTCACTCATTGTTTCCTGATATTCAGTTATCTCTCCTCTGATTGGCTAAAAGCAACTTTACAACCAACTGCTTTGCAACAATGATCTTATATCTCCACAGATAACACAAGCCTGAAGGAGTGCTGTTGTGGAGTTGCTAATGCTAATGGTTAGCTTCTACTAGTCGAGATGTGCTCTGCTCTCTCCTGGGCACTAAATCAACAACAGCCTTCCCCGTCACGAGCCATGAAGAGTGAGTCCACAAATGTTACAGTGTGATGTCGATCTGTCTTTTCTAATCTGAGTGTTTCTCCGTCTATGTTCCATCAACGGCTAATGCAGGAAATAGGGATAGAAGACCTTTTCAGGTTCAGCCTGCATGAAAAGTCAGAGTGACCCATTGTATTTTAAAGACAACAAGTAAAAACTTGTCTTAGTGAACTTGGTCTTTAAAAGGTAATCAAATTTAAAAGGACAAGAAGGCTCTAAATAAAGATGAGACAAGAGGAAGAAGAACAAAAGAGATGGTGACCGAGGAAATGAGTGCTTGATATTTGTAAACTACACAGAGTTCCAAAGGAAATAGAAATCATGACAACTTCCTGTCTCCTATCTGTAAAACAGTAGCTGGAAGAAGTTGGGTCTGCACAGAAGAAATTGATTGGCCGATTGTCCTCCCATGAATTTCCCTAAGGTCAAATATTATTACCACAACAGAACGAGAGAGCGAAACACAGGAATTTGTAGAATAAGACAAAGATACCTTACAGGTCCCCAACACCTTTGAACCTTTAGAACAATCACGCCAACATCAACAAGAGACAGCTTCAAAATGCTGGACAAAAAGCTGCATCTCTAACTGGCCAATGAAAAGGAAGGACTGATAACGGCTAAAGAGACAACTGGACACTTATGAGTCCAAGTTTGAAGTGCTCAGAAATTGGGGTAAATTGGAGGTTTGTATATTGGACTGGACCGTGGGGACGAAAGGCTATCATAAGGCCTTGAAAGTCAAACCCTGTGGACAGAACTGAACCGAGCTAATGTCAAGCTACAGCCAGAAACTGGATAATGCCCCAAAACTGTCCGGCTCAGTCATGCATTTGAACGTTACTGGGTTGTTATGGGAGCAGCTTAAGAAATTTAGAGAAATACATCGAGACAATCTATCTTGTGAGACAGACGTATGAAATCTCACCAGCTTATTTAGAAAATAGACAGCTAAGATCTGGCTGGCTGGAAATGCTGCAAACTGTAATTTTGTAGATTAAAGCAGTTTGAAGAAAACATTCATAAAATGGTTAAAACCACAACTTGTTCAGCTGAATTTCATGTTAAAACAGGAAAATGTCTGAGTGATCTTCTGAGCAGCAGTGTACACATTGCCAGACTTGTTATCATTATGGTTATAAAACACAAATCACCAAAAATAAATCATGTCAGTTGTGAATGAAGACTTGTTTATTCACAAAGTTGTGTTAAAAAGACGGCTTCTGGACAAATTTAGAGGAGAAAATGCAAGCGGTAAACACTAAATCAGACCAACTGAATTAGACTGAGGAGTTTCTTTGTGCTTTATTGCCTCTGTGTGTTGTCCATCAGCATATTGATTCCCTCGTGCTAGTTTTAGTGCTTTTACCAGAGGATACATTTGTTTCTGTGTCCGTGTGTGTGCATTTGTGTGTGTGTAAGTGTGTGTGTGGGCCCTGTCCGCCTCACAGTTTTTGTCAGCCCTTCGGCCGTTGTTGATCATTACCTCAAGGGCTTTGGCAACACTGCAGACGGGATGTAAACTATTTTACTGAGCTGTTACACAGTTTACGTCAATTCATCACTCCTGTCTACATGGCTTCTTTTCACACCAAACAGAACCAGGTCTGTGATACAGAAGATAAAAAATCTTCTTAAGTAAAATAGATCTTTGTAAAAAAAAAAAGATATAAAAGAAAAAGTGGTAAAATGAGTATTAAAGAGAAAGTAAAACCAATAAATTTGACTTATTTTATTGCCATCAGCATGATCCTGACATGTTACATGATTTGTCTTCTAAATGATCCCATTTGTTAATATGATTTCATTCAGCCGCAGCATTAATATATGCGATAATAATGAGGATTTGTTTAAAGATGATTTTCATGGGTGATTTTGTCAAATGTATGAAAAAGAACAGAAAAGTTTAAGAATAATGTACCCTTAAAATATCAGAAGTGATTTACGTCATGAAATCTGGAGGGATTTCTGTGTATAACGTAAGTCTGAACTGGACTGTTGAGATCTCCAATCCCTCAGATAACACTACATCAGGAGCTGTCTTTCGTCGCAGCTGATTTAAGCACATGAGCAGGGAATTGAGCACATGGGTGGGGAAGCACGTCTTTCACAAACGCCACACAACCTCATTGTAAAAAGGAGAAACTTAGTAAAAACACTTTCCAGAAGTGGCTTTGAGTTCTCTGGACTCTGGAGCTTTTAAGACTTGGAAATGTGAACTGTGGTCAGATAAATCAGTATTCTACACTTTTTAATAGGTCCTTCATGCACCAAACAGAAACTCACAGAACAATTTAGATGTTTAAATCCACAGTCTGTGATGGCTAGAAGTTCCTGGCAAAGGTAGTTTATTTTTCTGTGGTGCCAGCATTAATGAAGAAAGGTACATTAAGATGTAAAAGCAGCCTTTGTTTGCCTTAAGACCGCCCATTCAGGGTGGTTCGGGCATTCCTTAACAAGACAACGTAAATGATACATTATGCATTTATGTTTGTCAGTAAATCAAAGAAAAAGTCACCTGTCTGCAGCTCCGATTTGTTCACATTAGAAATGTGACCTTTACTGTTAGAAACTTAGTAAAAACACTTTCCAGTAAGAAACGAAATGTTGAGTTTTCTTAACCAAGTTATGTCAGCTGGTTCCACTAAACCTAGTTGTATGGAGTAATATACGTGGTTATACATTCTGTTAAAAGTTAATGTATATTACTATTTACATTTAAAGGGACTTTACAGAGTTTTGAATTTTTATGCTCGCGATTGCCCCCTCAGGCCAAAAGCGTAACGGCAGCTTCAATAGTAGGCTCGTGCACGAGGCGCGCATGATGTACGTGCACACTCCTTAACGAAAATAACAGCTGAGACAGTCCCGTGTGTGTGTGTGTGTGTGTGTGTGCGGCCCGGAGGACAGAGGACAGGAGAACGCGCAGCTAATTAATTAAATAATTTGGTTCTGTAACTTTCTCTTCAGCACAGCCAACAAAGGTTTAAGATGGGCCGGTCCGTCAGCTTCACAGAGCTTCCCTTCCCTTGCTTGAAAAATTGTTCCAAAATGAATGTTGAACCCACATCTTTTTTATCTGTGAATTCAAAGCCGTCCGGCGAGTCTCAAATAAAAATTTGGGCATCTTACTGTAAAAAAAAATATACCATTAATGTAAAAAATAAACTCTAAATAAATTATGTTCACATCCAGAATCGAACCCAGATCTTCTACACAGGAGTCCAACATCTTACTAGGTGAGCTAGAGGACCAGAAGTGTCTTTTATATCTGTAATATTTATATTCCTGATGACAGCTGAAACAACGTTCAAAGAACGGTTTGGAGCGAAAATGGCTATTTTGTTGCTAATTTGCAGGAAATATCTAGAAGAAAGTCGCTAAGGGTCCTCAGAAATGTAGCTAGGTTCATCACTAGGTGTTAGGAACAGCGACTAAGTCGCTGAGTTGGCACTACCTCACTCTCTGCTGCTAAAGCTGCTGATAGCAAATGCTACGGGCTATGCCTGAGCGTGAACGCGCATGAAGCAGCCTGCTCGACCCGAGCATCTCTCTTTTTCTGTGATTTTACAGAAAAACAGGCAATCACAGTAAAAATGCCAGGACTCATTCTACAGGACCAGGGCATTGCAGGAGAATGTATGAAGAAGAAATTTATTATTTCTATACATGTTTTGGCTGTCAAACTTCCATAATGTCCCTTTAAGCAAATTAGGTAAAGTTTGGTAAATTCAACTTTTTTTTTCTTACAGTGTAGTTGCCTTTTCCTACTTGATTCTCTGAATGTAAAAGAAGGAAAATGTCTCCTAACCCAGTAGAAAAAGCTTTATTGGTTTCCTAAAGTCAGAATCTCATGAGGAGAAATGTGCATTGTTAATGCTGAAACAGATAAAAAAACAGGTAATTTGAACAAATAAATCTGTCTTATTTATCAACTACATAGCTTCTCATACCTTGGTAGTATTTCCCAGTATGTAATTATTTAC